ATTCTGATCCGAAACCGTGCTACGGATTTAGATGCCAGGATGAACGACGGTACGAGTCCCCTGATCCTGGCAGCAAGGCTCGCTGTGGAGGGCATGGTAGAAGAGCTGATCCACTGCCACGCTGACATCAACGCTGTAGATGATCATGGTATGAGAACATTAGACTTGATCTGTGACTTTCTAAGGGTATTTGTCTGGATGATTTAATGTTAGCATGACAAGTTTTAAAGAAATAAAGAACATTTTTATCTGATGTCCGAACTCACTAACACAACGTTTTGATTCCCCCACCGTTAAGGTAAGTCTGCATTGCACTGGGCAGCTGCAGTCAATAATGTGGAGGCTACCCTTGTGCTTCTGAAAAATGGTGCCAACCGCGACATGCAAGACAATAAGGTTTGTTATTCAGCATTTTTTTTGTTTTGTTTTTCCTTTAGTTGACTTAAGAGCTGCAACTAAAATGGATGATGTGAAAATAGGCATAAAATCTGCAAATAAATGCTTTTTGTAAGGCTGATCAGCAGAAAGCTATTTTCTGTCATTTTGTTAGTAAATGAGCATTGCACATTTTTTAATAGAGAATATCAAAGAGTGTTTCTTTTGTTTTATTTAAATGCCTGATGTTTTTTGATGCATTTGTTTCAGGAGGAGACGCCCTTATTTCTTGCAGCACGAGAAGGCAGCTTTGAGGCAGCTCAGGTTCTTCTTGATCACTACTCCAACCGTGATATCACAGATCACCTGGACCGACTCCCGCGTGATACTGCTCAAGAGCGAATGCATCATGACATCGTCCGTCTGCTTGACCAGTACAATCTGGTTCACAGTCCACACAATGGGCATAACCACATGGGTGGAGGGGGAAACTCCTCTGTTATGTGTGGGGCTAATGGAGCAGGCTTCATCGGTATGAGGTCTGGACCACAAGGCAAGAAGAGCAGAAGGGGAGCCGGGGCGAAGGCTGGAGGTGTAGGTGGGGGACCAAAGGAGATCAAGGACATGAAAGCCAAGAGACGGAAGAAGCCTGCTGGAGGAGAAGGCCCAGGTTTGGCTGCTACAGGAGGAGGCAGCGGAGGAGGCGCTGGTGGAGGGAGCAGCAATGGAGTAAAGGCAGCAGGAGGACTTTCAGAGAGCTCTGTCACCATGTCACCCGTTGACTCCCTGGAGTCCCCTCACTCCTACACTGGGGAGGTGTCTGCTGCTGTCTCAAACACAGCTAATTCCCCTCCTCTCCTGAGCAGTCCCACCTCCAGAGCGATGCTGCCCCCTGTCAGCCACATGCTGGGACAGCAGCAAAACTGGATGGGCATGGCCAAGCAAGCCTACAACGGCCCCATGTTTGGTCTCCTCCAGCACCCGATGAGAGGAGCACACCCCGGCATGAGCCACGGCCAGAGCACCATGATGACTCCCATGAACGTCACCATGAGCAGGGAGCAGCTGCCCCCCATCGTCACTTTCCAGATGATGACCACGGGAAGCAGCCAGGCCATGCTAAAGCAGTCTCAGTCGGGACAGGTACAAGTCACACAGGCCCAGGGGCAGAACCAGAATCCATGTCACACTCAGCAGGTACCGGGCCATGTCCACTGCAACCCTGGAATGATTTACCCAAATCAGATGGGTCTGGGGCAAGGTCCATCCCACCCCCTGCATCCTCCCCACACCATCAACCCTGCTGGAGGAATGGAGGGCCAGTCTCGACCGCTGCCCCCCTATGTGCCCATCCAGAGCCCTGTGGATAAATACCCAACACCCCCCTCCCAACACAGCCCTCCCAACGGCTCGGAAGGCACCACTCCAGGTCACTCTGCCCACCCACAAAACGAGCATCCGTATCTCACCCCTTCCCCCGAATCACCAGACCCCTGGTCCTCCTCCTCGCCTCACTCTAACTCGGACTGGTCCGACGTCACCACCAGCCCCACCCCACTGGGGAACTCCCACCATGCACTGCAGGCTACACGCCACACACACATTCCAGAGCAGGGCCAGATGCAGCCGCCGTCGCAGCAGATGCAGCCGCCCGCTCAGCAGCCTCAGCTCGGAAACATGCAGGTGTTCGCATGAAGCAGCCAGAGGAAAGCAGAGACAGACTGACTCTTTGGTTCAGCAAAAAAAAAAAACACAAGTGCCTTTCTATAAATCCATAATCAGCCCCCTCCCCTTTTATTCCTCCTTCCAGTTACAGTGTATAGTTTTATAATGTTACTCGGTACTTTGAAAAATCTTTTCTGTGCTTTTACATTAATCATCCGAGACCTTTGCTCTTCATTTGGAATCAAATTTGCACAATAATAACCACTGCTACGCCATCCAGGGGCATCACAGACTGATGCTGTGATTTCTGAGCGATCACAGAGAAAACTCCACCACAAAGAGCTCAGCTCTTGTTGCATCAGAAAAATAAGACTGTTAATGGGACGCTCTCTACACTGACACTCTATTCTCAGAAAAGTTTGTTAAATCTGTTCGCTAGATATGACCCTTATATGTTCAGTGTTTTAAAAACTGCGGTACTAACTCCTAGCTGACACAGCTCACTAAATGTTTTAATTTAAGAAGTTTCAATCAGTTAAACTATTGCTTGGTCCTGTGGGTTTTTTAATTTTTTTTATGTAGGGCTACTTTCAACAAAAGTTCTTAAACTTTTGAAAAGTAAGAAACGTAAATGATGCAGTTTGATGTTTTACTGGTTTTGCATTTCCTTTTAGTTCCAGTTCCTTGATCAAATCTGGAACTTCTTTAATTTGTGTTTTACATGCAAACATCAACTTAAACTGTTTGTTTTATCCGTTTTCATGCTTTGAGTAGTAGCGAGGGATTTATTCTGTTGCTTTGGTTGTGTCAGTTTTTACCATTGTTGTCTCCAGGTTTAATATGCTGTAAGAAAGAAAATGTATATATATATATATATATATACTTAAAGCAGTTTCTGCTTGTTTTAGTAGAGCTAAATGTTGTTTAGCCTTCTTAAAGTTCCCTTTTTTATATATATAAATATCTGCACTTCCTGAATGATTTTGAATGTTACAAAGCCGCATGTTTTTACCGTTAAACTGCCTCCTCCTCTTTTTGCAGCAGCTGTCTTCCATAAATCTTCATTATAATCAATTTTCTTTTGTCCTGATCAGCATATGTCATGATTTATAACCAAGTCTGAACATGAGCAGTGAAAGATGGGTTCTTCTCTAGTTTTCCTCTGTCTCAAAGCAAATGTTATGTATTGATTCTCTTCTTTATTCACAGACCATAATGCATTTTTTTTTAAATGTTGAGGATTTAAAAGAAAAGGAGTGGGAGAGCAATTTTTCATTTATTAAGCCAAAAAACGCTCTGTGCGTACATGATGTATTTGTTGCTTGTCTTGGATTTGATCAAAAGTTGGAGACCTTGGGGGAATACATCCAGCACCAACCAAAGTGTTGAATCACAGTCGGGGAGGACAAGCCAATCAATATTCCTGACCTTTGCTTTTGTACACAGCGTCCCTTTAGTTTAAAAACCCATGTACTGTACATGTCAGTCTACACTCATAGTTAGAACAATCTGGTACATATAAAAAGCTGTTTCTGTTTTCTGTATATAAAATGTACTTTGTTTACCATTTTTCTATGTTATCCAATTAGCCTATATTATCCGTAGAGTATGAAGTAGTTGTCATCATATTTGTATAAGGTAGAGCTAATGTCGATTGAGGAGATGATCTTTGGTGAAAAAAACAAAACAATAATAAACCAAATATGTTTACGTAAATGAAGCCCTGATCATGTGTCCACGTTTTTCTTATTCTTGTTGGTATATTTTAACGTTTTATCACACCTCAGCGGTTATATAGTCAATTGTTACATTTCCACATTTTGTAACACTTAACAGTTTTACCAGGTTTTTATGTGACAAACCAAAAGTAACACAAAATTATTATACTGAAAGGAAAACATGCAAAAACAACATTTGCTGTTCCCTTTTATAAATTTAGTAAAAACTCAATGTTCTTTTAAAAGCTCTTCAGATTTCTTTTGATTTTCTTTGTTTCAGATAATCAGATAAAAATAACTTTAATACTAAATCTAGGTTACAAATGAACATTTCATGTATTTAGAAGAAATGTTTCACACCTAGCCCAGCCTCTGCCAAGGAAGCTGTTTTCAAATTTTCAGAGAAGGTGCATTTCTGTGACTGGCATCATTTTGGTGAGGATGTTGATCAGCATCTCGATCCAGATTCTAAGAATACAGGAGGAAGTCACAATATGTTGAGGGAAATGAGCTTCTTGGTGGAGGTCTGAGCTCTCAAAGTGCTTCTCTAGTTAGGAACTGTGGAACCACATTTATGGGGAAAATGGGCTTAATATCAACATGATCCGATTACTTCTTGCTCAGAACAACTGAGAGTGCCGTCATCCTTAAATAAATAAAAGACTACCGGTAAAAAAAATCAGAAAATGGATCAATTGTGTATTTTATTTTTAAAATATATTTCTTTAATATAAAGCCTCACAATAAGACTTTAAGGTAATGCTGCCCACATCAGGGAAACTGATAGGACAAAAGGGGAACACTTTGGGAAGGAGTGCATCCTTTTATTTTTGAAACAGAACTCAACATTTCAGGAAAATAATATATATAATCTTGAACTGCTTCCAGGGACGAGTTGCTGCCTGCTTAGCAATTGTGAAGGGGGGTCATCTGGCCTTCAGTTCATGACTTTCAAGCGTAAACAAACTTGGGTAATACTTCATGATTATTATCCAAAGTACACCAGCATGTCCACATCTAAGGCTCAAATAAAAAGAAGTAGAATACAGGTTTTTAAATGGCCACATCAAAGTTTAACTTACATGCTGTTGCATGGCATTAAACGGACGTTTATATTTCAAAAATTCAAATCAAAATCTAGCATGTTTTTAAAAATCAAGTTCAATGCCACTTAATATTTAGGCCTGCGGTTTGTCCTCTGGCCAGCAGGTGGCGCAAGGTGCCGCAGTCAACCTCCAAAGAAAAAACAAGGAAGAGATGTGAACAAGGAAGTGATCCAGGACTTCGGAGGCATGAGATAGATTACTTCTCTGGAGTTGTTATCTTTTGTTTGCATATGTTAATCTCAAACTGTAGTTGAAAGGTTATGGCTGTAAGAGTCCTTAGAATCAGTACGGAAAGCCGGGTGGACATACGGCGTTAAGGTGACGGGTGGTTGAGGAGCTGCTGTTTTGACAGCTGGGTTTTAATCCACTGTCCAAGCTACAGAGGGGTCCGCTGGATCCTGAGAGGAACCTGCGGGGCTGTTTTCAGACAAAAGGTGAGATAATTTCCCATCTCCACTTTTCTCACCCCTTTTTCTGGTCCTTAACGTCAAAATGGATTCTTTACTGCCTCGCTTTCCCTCCCCGTGTCTGTAGGTTCCACCGCCTGGCAGCCATGGCTTCAGCCCGGCTGAAGTACCTCTCCCTGGGCGTGCTGGTGTTCCAGACCACCTCTCTGGTGCTCACCATGCGGTACTCCCGCACCCTGCAGGCCGAGGGCCCGCGGTACCTGGCCTCTTCAGCCGTGGTGGTGGCTGAGGTCATGAAGATCCTGACCTGCGTGCTGCTGGTTTTCAAGGAGCACAGTGAGTGACTGGGAGGGAGGAGGGGGTCCTTCACCTGCATGAGAGTACTGATCTCTCTAAAGATGTTAGGGTCCTTCACCTGCATGAGAGTACTGATCTCTCTAAAGATGTTAGGGTCCTTCACCTGCATGAGAGTACTGATCTCTCTAAAGATGTTAGGGTTCTTCACCTGCATGAGAGGACTGGCCCCTCTAAAGATGTTAGGGTTCTTCACCTGCATGAGAGGACTGATCCCTATAAAGATGTTAGGGTTCTTCACCTGCATGAGAGGACTGATCCCTATAAAGATGTTAGGGTTCTTCACCTGCATGAGAGGACTGGCCCCTCTAAAGATGTTAGGGTCCTTCACCTGCATGAGAGGACTGATCCCTATAAAGATGTTAGGGTTCTTCACCTGCATGAGAGGACTGATCCCTATAAAGATGTTATGGTTCTTCACCTGCATGAGAGGACTGATTCCTCTAAAGATGTTAGGGTTCTTCACCTGCATGAGAGGACTGATTCCTCTAAAGATGTTAGGGTTCTTCACCTGCATGAGAGGACTGATCCCTCTAAAGATGTTAGGGTTCTTCACCTGCATGAGAGGACTGATCCCTATAAAGATGTTAGGGTTCTTCACCTGCATGAGAGGACTGATCCCTATAAAGATGTTAGGGTTCTTCACCTGCATGAGAGGACTGATCCCTCTAAAGATGTTAGGGTTCTTCACCTGCATGAGAGGACTGATCCCTATAAAGATGTTAGGGTTCTTCACCTGCATGAGAGGACTGATCCCTCTAAAGATGGTAGGGTCTTCACCTGCATGAGAGGACTGATCCCTCTAAAGATGTTAGGGTTCTTCACCTGCATGAGAGGACTGATCCCTCTAAAGATGTTAGGGTTCTTCACCTGCATGAGAGGACTGATCCCTCTAAAGATGTTAGGGTTCTTCACCTGCATGAGAGGACTGATCCCTCTAAAGATGTTAGGGTTCTTCACCTGCATGAGAGGACTGATCCCTATAAAGATGTTAGGGTTCTTCACCTGCATGAGAGGACTGATCCCTCTAAAGATGTTAGGGTTCTTCACCTGCATGAGAGGACTGATCCCTCTAAAGATGTTAGGGTTCTTCACCTGCATGAGAGGACTGATCCCTATAAAGATGTTAGGGTTCTTCACCTGCATGAGAGGACTGATCCCTATAAAGATGTTAGGGTTCTTCACCTGCATGAGAGGACTGATCCCTCTAAAGATGTTAGGGTTCTTCACCTGCATGAGAGGACTGATCCCTCTAAAGATGTTAGGGTTCTTCACCTGCATGAGAGGACTGATCCCTCTAAAGATGTTAGGGTTCTTCACCTGCATGAGAGGACTGATCCCTATAAAGATGTTAGGGTTCTTCACCTGCATGAGAGGACTGATCCCTATAAAGATGTTAGGGTTCTTCACCTGCATGAGAGGACTGATCCCTATAAAGATGGTAGGGTTCTTCACCTGCATGAGAGGACTGATCCCTCTAAAGATGTTAGGGTTCTTCACCTGCATGAGAGGACTGATCCCTATAAAGATGTTAGGGTTCTTCACCTGCATGAGAGGACTGATCCCTCTAAAGATGTTAGGGTCCTTCACCTGCATGAGAGGACTGATCCCTATAAAGATGTTAGGGTTCTTCGCCTGCATGAGAGGACTGATCCCTATAAAGATGTTAGGGTTCTTCGCCTGCATGAGAGGACTGATCCCTCTAAAGATGTTAGGGTTCTTCACCTGCATGAGAGGACTGATCCCTCTAAAGATGTTAGGGTCCTTCACCTGCATGAGCGGACTGATCTCTCTAAAGATGTTAGGGTTCTTCACCTGCATGAGAGGACTGATTCCTCTAAAGATGTTAGGGTTCTTCACCTGCATGAGAGGACTGATCCCTATAAAGATGTTATGGTTCTTCACCTGCATGAGAGGACTGATCCCTATAAAGATGTTAGGGTTCTTCACCTGCATGAGCGGACTGATCCCTATAAAGATGTTATGGTTCTTCACCTGCATGAGAGGACTGATCCCTATAAAGATGTTAGGGTTCTTCACCTGCATGAGAGGACTGATCCCTATAAAGATGTTAGGGTTCTTCACCTGCATGAGAGGACTGATCCCTATAAAGATGTTAGGGTTCTTCACCTGCATGAGAGGACTGATCCCTATAAAGATGTTAGGGTTCTTCACCTGCATGAGAGGACTGATCCCTCTAAAGATGTTAGGGTTCTTCACCTGCATGAGAGGACTGATCCCTATAAAGATGTTAGGGTTCTTCACCTGCATGAGAGGACTGATCCCTATAAAGATGGTAGGGTTCTTCACCTGCATGAGAGGACTGATCCCTCTAAAGATGTTAGGGTTCTTCACCTGCATGAGAGGACTGATCCCTATAAAGATGTTAGGGTTCTTCACCTGCATGAGAGGACTGATCCCTATAAAGATGTTAGGGTTCTTCACCTGCATGAGAGGACTGATCCCTATAAAGATGGTAGGGTTCTTCACCTGCATGAGAGGACTGATCGCTCTAAAGATGTTAGGGTTCTTCACCTGCATGAGAGTACTGATCCCTCTAAAGATGTTAGGGTTCTTCACCTGCATGAGAGGACTGATCCCTATAAAGATGTTAGGGTCCTTCACCTGCATGAGAGGACTGATCCCTCTAAAGATGTTAGGGTTCTTCACCTGCATGAGAGGACTGATCCCTCTAAAGATGTTAGGGTCCTTCACCTGCATGAGAGGACTGATCCCTATAAAGATGTTAGGGTTCTTCACCTGCATGAGAGGACTGATCCCTCTAAAGATGTTAGGGTTCTTCACCTGCATGAGAGGACTGATCCCTCTAAAGATGGTAGGGTTCTTCACCTGCATGAGAGGACTGATCCCTCTAAAGATGTTAGGGTTCTTCACCTGCATGAGAGGACTGATCCCTCTAAAGATGTTAGGGTCCTTCACCTGCATGAGAGGACTGATCCCTCTAAAGATGTTAGGGTCCTTCACCTGCATGAGAGGACTGATCCCTCTAAAGATGTTAGGGTTCTTCACCTGCATGAGAGGACTGATCCCTCTAAAGATGTTAGGGTTCTTCACCTGCATGAGAGGACTGATTCCTCTAAAGATGTTAGGGTTCTTCACCTGCATGAGAGGACTGATTCCTCTAAAGATGTTAGGGTTCTTCACCTGCATGAGAGGACTGATCCCTCTAAAGATGTTAGGGTTCTTCACCTGCATGAGAGGACTGATCCCTCTAAAGATGTTAGGGTTCTTCACCTGCATGAGAGGACTGATTCCTCTAAAGATGTTAGGGTTCTTCACCTGCATGAGAGGACTGATCCCTATAAAGATGTTAGGGTTCTTCACCTGCATGAGAGGACTGATCCCTATAAAGATGTTAGGGTTCTTCACCTGCATGAGAGGACTGATTCCTCTAAAGATGTTAGGGTTCTTCACCTGCATGAGAGGACTGATCCCTATAAAGATGTTATGGTTCTTCACCTGCATGAGAGGACTGATCCCTATAAAGATGTTAGGGTTCTTCACCTGCATGAGAGGACTGATCCCTATAAAGATGTTAGGGTTCTTCACCTGCATGAGAGGACTGATCCCTCTAAAGATGTTAGGGTTCTTCACCTGCATGAGAGGACTGATCTCTATAAAGATGTTAGGGTTCTTCACCTGCATGAGAGGACTGATCCCTATAAAGATGGTAGGGTTCTTCACCTGCATGAGAGGACTGATCCCTATAAAGATGGTAGGGTTCTTCACCTGCATGAGAGGACTGATCTCTATAAAGATGTTAGGGTTCTTCACCTGCATGAGAGGACTGATCCCTATAAAGATGTTAGGGTTCTTCACCTGCATGAGAGGACTGATCCCTATAAAGATGTTAGGGTTCTTCACCTGCATGAGAGGACTGATCTCTATAAAGATGTTAGGGTTCTTCACCTGCATGAGAGGACTGATCCCTATAAAGATGGTAGGGTTCTTCACCTGCATGAGAGGACTGATCCCTATAAAGATGTTAGGGTTCTTCACCTGCATGAGAGGACTGATCCCTATAAAGATGTTAGGGTTCTTCACCTGCATGAGAGGACTGATCCCTATAAAGATGTTAGGGTTCTTCACCTGCATGAGAGGACTGATCTCTATAAAGATGTTAGGGTTCTTCACCTGCATGAGAGGACTGATCCCTATAAAGATGGTAGGGTTCTTCACCTGCATGAGAGGACTGATCCCTATAAAGATGGTAGGGTTCTTCACCTGCATGAGAGGACTGATCCCTCTAAAGATGTTAGGGTTCTTCACCTGCATGAGAGGACTGATCCCTATAAAGATGTTAGGGTTCTTCACCTGCATGAGAGGACTGATCCCTATAAAGATGTTAGGGTTCTTCACCTGCATGAGAGGACTGATCCCTATAAAGATGTTAGGGTTCTTCACCTGCATGAGAGGACTGATCCCTATAAAGATGTTAGGGTTCTTCACCTGCATGAGAGGACTGATCCCTATAAAGATGTTAGGGTTCTTCACCTGCATGAGAGGACTGATCCCTATAAAGATGTTAGGGTTCTTCACCTGCATGAGAGGACTGATCCCTATAAAGATGTTAGGGTTCTTCACCTGCATGAGAGGACTGATCCCTATAAAGATGTTAGGGTTCTTCACCTGCATGAGAGGACTGATCCCTATAAAGATGGTAGGGTTCTTCACCTGCATGAGAGGACTGATCCCTCTAAAGATGTTAGGGTTCTTCACCTGCATGAGAGGACTGATTCCTCTAAAGATGTTAGGGTTCTTCACCTGCATGAGAGGACTGATCCCTCTAAAGATGTTAGGGTTCTTCACCTGCATGAGAGGACTGATCCCTCTAAAGATGTTAGGGTTCTTCACCTGCATGAGAGGACTGATTCCTCTAAAGATGTTAGGGTCCTTCACCTGCATGAGAGGACTGATCCCTCTAAAGATGTTAGGGTTCTTCACCTGCATGAGCGGACTGATCTCTCTAAAGATGTTAGGGTTCTTCACCTGCATGAGAGGACTGATCCCTCTAAAGATGTTAGGGTTCTTCACCTGCATGAGAGGACTGATCCCTCTAAAGATGTTAGGGTTCTTCACCTGCATGAGAGGACTGATCCCTCTAAAGATGTTAGGGTCCTTCACCTGCATGAGAGGACTGATCCCTCTAAAGATGTTAGGGTTCTTCACCTGCATGAGAGGACTGATCCCTCTAAAGATGTTAGGGTCCTTCACCTGCATGAGAGGACTGATCCCTATAAAGATGGTAGGGTTCTTCACCTGCATGAGAGGACTGATCCCTCTAAAGATGTTAGGGTCCTTCACCTGCATGAGCGGACTGATCTCTCTAAAGATGTTATGGTTCTTCACCTGCATGAGAGGACTGATCCCTCTAAAGATGGTAGGGTTCTTCACCTGCATGAGAGGACTGATTCCTCTAAAGATGTTAGGGTCTTCACCTGCATGATAGAACTGATCCCTCTAAAGATGTTAGGGTCCTTCACCTGCATGAGAGGACTGATCCCTCTAAAGATGTTAGGGTCCTTCACCTGCATGAGCGGACTGATCCCTCTAAAGATGTTAGGGTCCTTCACCTGCATGAGCGGACTGATCTCTCTAAAGATGTTAGGGTCCTTCACCTGCATGAGAGGACTGATCCCTCTAAAGATGTTAGGGTCCTTCACCTGCATGAGAGGACTGATCCCTATAAAGATGTTAGGGTCCTTCACCTGCATGAGAGGACTGATCCCTCTAAAGATGGTAGGGTTCTTCACCTGCATGAGAGGACTGATCCCTATAAAGATGTTAGGGTCCTTCACCTGCATGAGAGGACTGATCCCTCTAAAGATGTTAGGGTTCTTCACCTGCATGAGAGGACTGATCCCTCTAAAGATGTTAGGGTCTTCACCTGCATGAGAGGACTGATCCCTCTAAAGATGTTAGGGTTCTTCACCTGCATGAGAGGACTGATCCCTCTAAAGATGGTAGGGTTCTTCACCTGCATGAGAGGACTGATCCCTCTAAAGATGGTAGGGTTCTTCACCTGCATGAGAGGACTGATCCCTCTAAAGATGGTAGGGTTCTTCACCTGCATGAGAGGACTGATCCCTCTAAAGATGTTAGGGTCTTCACCTGCATGAGAGGACTGATCCCTCTAAAGATGTTAGGGTTCTTCACCTGCATGAGAGGACTGATCCCTATAAAGATGTTAGGGTCCTTCACCTGCATGAGCGGACTGATCTCTATAAAGATGTTAGGGTTCTTCACCTGCATGAGAGGACTGATCCCTCTAAAGATGGTAGGGTTCTTCACCTGCATGAGAGGACTGATCCCTCTAAAGATGGTAGGGTTCTTCACCTGCATGAGAGGACTGATCCCTATAAAGATGTTAGGGTTCTTCACCTGCATGAGAGGACTGATCCCTATAAAGATGTTAGGGTTCTTCACCTGCATGAGAGGACTGATCCCTATAAAGATGTTAGGGTCCTTCACCTGCATGAGAGGACTGATCCCTATAAAGATGTTAGGGTTCTTCACCTGCATGAGCGGACTGATCCCTCTAAAGATGTTAGGGTCCTTCACCTGCATGAGAGGACTGATCTCTCTAAAGATGTTAGGGTCCTTCACCTGCATGAGAGGACTGATCCCTCTAAAGATGTTAGGGTCCTTCACCTGCATGAGAGGACTGATCCCTCTAAAGATGTTAGGGTTCTTCACCTGCATGAGAGGACTGATCTCTATAAAGATGTTAGGGTTCTTCACCTGCATGAGAGGACTGATCTCTCTAAAGATGTTAGGGTCCTTCACCTGCATGAGAGGACTGATCCCTCTAAAGATGTTAGGGTCCTTCACCTGCATGAGAGGACTGATCCCTCTAAAGATGTTAGGGTTCTTCACCTGCATGAGAGGACTGATCCCTCTAAAGATGTTAGGGTCCTTCACCTGCATGAGAGGACTGATCCCTCTAAAGATGTTAGGGTTCTTCACCTGCATGAGAGGACTGATCCCTATAAAGATGTTAGGGTCCTTCACCTGCATGAGAGGACTGATCCCTCTAAAGATGTTAGGGTTCTTCACCTGCATGAGAGGACTGATCCCTATAAAGATGTTAGGGTCCTTCACCTGCATGAGAGGACTGATCCCTCTAAAGATGTTAGGGTTCTTCACCTGCATGAGAGGACTGATCCCTATAAAGATGTTAGGGTTCTTCACCTGCATGAGAGGACTGATCCCTCTAAAGATGTTAGGGTTCTTCACCTGCATGAGAGGACTGATTCCTCTAAAGATGTTAGGGTTCTTCACCTGCATGAGAGGACTGATCCCTCTAAAGATGGTAGGGTTCTTCACCTGCATGAGAGGACTGATCCCTATAAAGATGTTAGGGTCCTTCACCTGCATGAGAGGACTGATCCCTCTAAAGATGTTAGGGTTCTTCACCTGCATGAGAGGACTGATCCCTCTAAAGATGTTAGGGTCCTTCACCTGCATGAGAGGACTGATTCCTCTAAAGATGTTAGGGTTCTTCACCTGCATGAGAGGACTGATCCCTATAAAGATGTTAGGGTTCTTCACCTGCATGAGAGGACTGATCCCTATTAAGATGTTAGGGTTCTTCACCTGCATGAGAGGACTGATTCCTCTAAAGATGTTAGGGTTCTTCACCTGCATGAGAGGACTGATTCCTCTAAAGATGTTAGGGTCTTCACCTGCATGATAGAACTGATCCCTCTAAAGATGTTATGGTCCTTCACAGACTATTTTCAAAAACACTCATGATCAGTAGTATGAAAATTGGGAGAAGTATAAAATCAGAGAGAGCTTTGGATTCAAAATGTCATTCTTTTTGCATCATTTTATATCATGGGATGGAAATAACCTTTTAAACCTAAAATAGAGATTTAAATGAGAAATATTAATTGTAGTTGATATAAATGACACTCCTAATTTTACTCTAAGATGTTAGAAGCTTTGCAGGATTTACATTGAAAAAAAACATTTCCAGAAATAAATGATGTTTGCTTTCCTTAGAGAACATCAGCTCTGGTTAAAAGGTATTCGCTCTAAATTGACTTTTTTTTAACAGCGGCTGGAAATTTCTTAGATTTGAAGCAAACTCAATCATCCCTGCATCATAATGCAGAGATTGATGGAGAAATGGCAGATTGTCTCACTGTTTGAAAACTGCGGCTCAGCTTGTGCTGCACCAAAGTACTGGTCCCCTCGCTGTTGCCAACCCAGCACAGCTGTTGGATCTGTATAAAGATGGCATTTTAATGGCTCTCCCTGTTCCGCTGTCCATGTCCAGGTTACAGCATGCGAGCTCTGAACAGCATCCTACGTCAGGAAATCCTCCATAAACCCATAGAGACGCTGAAGCTGGCCATCCCCTCTGGGATCTACACACTGCAGAACAACCTGCTGTACGTTGCACTGTCCAACCTGGATGCTGCGACCTACCAGGTATAACCAACAGATAATGGGATGGATAAATGCATCTAGGGGTTTTATACTAACTTCATTCCTCTGTGTTTTTTTTTAAAATTCAGGTGACGTATCAGCTGAAGATCTTGACCACAGCCCTATTCTCTGTGTCCATGCTGGGCCGCAGGCTGGGGGTCTACCAGTGGCTCTCCCTGCTGATCCTAATGGCTGGAGTGGCTCTTGTGCAGGTTGGGTATACTGTCCAGTTTTAGTTTGCTTAAATAAAGCGGAAAGATGTTGCTTCAGATTCAGCAATTTGCATCTTTATGACACTGACTTTTAAGCAAGGGAAAAAACTTATTTTGTTCTATATTTGCTAATTTTAGCGAGAGTGAAGCATTTACGGAAAAATGTCAGAGCTGGAAGTGTTACCGTAATACAACGTAACTTTTTGCAAGAAAGCTTTGTTGTAGCAATACTTCTTGGCAATACTGTGCAACATTTCTGGGTTGAACCCAAGAAAACTTTCCAAGTAGGTGTTGCTGGAGGAAGCATCGTAAATTGTTTCTATTAAAAAGTTGTTGTGTTAAAGTTTAATCATCCAGTCTAATAAAAAAACAACCAGAATCAACCATTATAGATGCAAACCGTGGTGTTAAGCCAACAAATGCATTTCTCTTACAAAGTATCACACCATTAGAGGATAATAAAGTCTGAAGGTGGGAGATTTATTGCATAAAAACAGTGTAACAATAAACTAATAGTCATACAACACATGTTCCTTTATTTTTTTGAGAGCTGGATCTTTATTTTCCATATATTTTTTTTGGGCCCTCTTTCTAATATTTGAATAAAACTTTTGATTACATAGAAATAATAAAGATAATTGTCTACTGAACTTCTGCTTTTTAAGTAAAAAGTTAAAGACTTGAAGTTCAGAGGTTTTTATCAAGTAGAGTTTTGGTGGCTTTTAGGAAAACACACACGCAGAAGAAAAATGACAATATATAAGTTTTTACTTTTATGAAGCCTATGATCTTATAAGATGAACATTGTAACCTTTTAAAACAATTCAGAAAAGTGTTGAGAGGAATTAACCTTTTCCTGCTCAGCTTATTTTATGAAGATTCGAGGGCAGGAAAATGACTGATCATCATCACCTCAATTTGATTCCAAATTCAATGAAAAAGAAAAAGAAACGCAGTTGTTGTTTGGTTGTCATTATGTTTCATATTCATATTTATATCTAGGTCTAACCTCGGGCAAATAAGCAATACTTTGAGAGCCACTGCTCACCATCTCCCTGTTTTTTTCTGAGCATGTGTCTCCTCCTTTTTCTGGCTTACGGCAGCATGTAGCGCGCTGGAAACAATTTTCTCACAACTCAGCAAAACTGTGAAGATGCAGACGTATGAATTTCAGACCCCAGGTGTAAATCCAATTTACTGGGAACATAAAGAGTTGTTTTACATGTGCGATACAAACTGGGCTATTACTGAAAACCAGTTGGGTTTGGTGTCGTCAATCAACCTGAGTCAAAGGATAATCCCTCCTGTTTTTCTCTCCATTCATTCTAGAGGATTTAACACGTTTGTAGGGAATGTTTGCTCAGAAGCACAGCCACACCCCTGACTCACTTCAAAATATTGTAAAATAAAGTTCTCAGTTTTCATATTTCAAACTTTATATTCATCATGTATATATATATATATATATATATATATATATATATATATATATATATATATATATATATATATATATATATATATATATATATATATATATATATATATATATAAAAGGCTAAAGTTAAACTGTTTTCTATCTGTGCTCACAGTGGCCCTCTGACTCCACGGCGGCCCCAGAGAAGGAGGCCCACTCTGCAGGCTCCCAGTTCGTCGGGGTCACAGCAGTTCTGGTGGCGTGCTGCTCTAGCGGCTTTGCAGGGGTCTACTTTGAGAAGATCCTGAAGGAGAGCAAACAGAGCGTGTGGGTCCGCAACATCCAGCTCGGTGAGTGAAGCTGTACGTTTGGCTGTAAAGGGAGAAATGAGCATGGATCATTACAGAGGCTTAGAAGTTAGAACAAAAACAGCTTTTTTTTTCTCGCCTTCTATGAATTTCTGTGAAAACAGATGTTCCTGTTGGGTTTATTTTTACCTCGGGAACGTGTGAGGCATGCACTCTGTCTCCTGTGACTCCTCCTCTGAGCTCAAAGCTTTTTCACCTGCATTAAACATTAAACAGCTGACTGTGTTTTTCTCCCTTCAGGCCATAAGGCCTCAACTACCTATATTTGTATCCTGTTAAATGTACTTTAATGCTCCCCAATTATCCTGTTTACCATCGACTTGTTAGATTTAAGCAACCTTCAACCGTAAGGGTCCAAGCTGGATGTCAAAAATCCTGTTGCGATTGCCAATTATTAACATGATCTCTTTTTCCTTTTAAACGCTAACTGAAGTTCACTTTTCTACACTAGCAGGGTGCCTAGTTGTGTGATTAAGGAATTGAAATCATGACATTAAAACCTTGTTTTTTTTTCAGTTCATCATTAAATGATATTAAGCTTTAGCCCAGAGTTTAAGTCTGTTTTTAACTTAACTTTTGTAAATATTGAAACAATAGTTTCATTTTAAAAAAAAATGGAATGCTATGCATGAGCAAGTTGTTTCTAGTTAGCCAAGTCTTACTTGGACAGACTTTGAAGAGATCTATCCGATAAAATACCTTCTAAGTTTAGAAGCCTGATCCAGAAGTATTTTCCTCAATTTGGGAAAATAATCAACCCAACACTAGGGGGCACTATAATGGGGAGGAGTTCATTTTTTTCATTTGAACTCGGAGCTTTAACATGACTGATTCCGCCTAACAAGATCTGTTTCTTTTAGCAAATATCTTAACTGAACGTGATACATGAAATATGCATTTCAGCTTCTATCTTAAACTCCACCTTTTTAAGACATTTTTAATAAAAACTAAAAGTTTGATCTATAATTTGAAGTAGACGACCACAGGAACATTTTGCACACATCCTCTGCACCGTTGGGGTCAATGCTAAGCGCTAGGCATAGTTAGCATGTCTGATGAAACCTTTGATTTTTCAGACATGAGAAAATCTAGGCTTGTTTAACTGTGAATATTTATAGTATTTTTTATTATTTAGGCTCAGAGCTGCAATTATAGTATATTAGATTGTTGTGAATTGGAGACTCGTCATCTTTAAATTCTCTTTTTTTATCTATTAAATCGAAGGTTATAGAAAGATTGTAGTGCAGGTCAAACACAAGGGGGCGCCAGAGATGAGATGCTTATAACTTTTAACAGTTTTTGTTTTTAAACATGAGGAAATTTGAGATAAGGGGCAAGTTTATGAATTGCATTTAATTCATTGATAATGTGTTGTGTTCTTGTTTTAAACTCTCAGGGATGTTTGGCCTGGTGTTTGGTCTTTTCGGGATGCTAGCCTACGATGGAGAGAGGGTCAGGGAGTCGGGGATGTTTCAGGGATACAACACAGTCACCTGGACCGTCGTAGCCCTGCAGGTAACCCTTTATCTCTATCAACAGATGTGATGGGATATTTTCCCATAAACTTGTCTAACTTTTGAAAAAAGAGTGTTGGCCCCTTCAGGTCGCGCCTCTGTCCATCTGCATCTGTGTGTTTGTTGTTTCTTCAGGCGCTGGGTGGTCTGGTCATAGCAGCTGTCATTAAATATGCAGACAACATCCTGAAAGGCTTTGCTACATCACTCTCCATCATCCTGTCCACTCTTATATCCTACTTCTTGCTGCAGGACTTTGACCCCTCAAGGTAAAAGAGTCAGAGTTTTTATTTATTTGTTTTTATTAGTTTGTTTTTTTTTTTTTCTGATTATAATCTCTCTTTCTGAAGCTTAGAGTTTTTGTGTCTACAGCGTGTTCTTCTTCGGGGCGGTTTTGGTCATCGCCGCCACTTTCCTGTACGGGTATGAAGGCAAGCCGCCGACCAACCCCAGCAGGGCGTAGAGTGATTTAACAGCAGCTAAGGAAGGACCTGTTCAAGCCTCAAGATGGTGGGGAGGAGGGAGAGTGGTGAGGGGATAGAAAAAAGGTCTTCAAGCACAACAATGAGGACTCACTCACACCGAAAGTGCCTCAGTTCTGAAGGAGAAGCAAATTGGGGACAAAACCCACCCACCCACCATTAGAATGTGTTTTTTCCTTTCCTGTTTTTTTTTTACTGTAGCAGAGAAAGTCCCGGCTGCCACGTCTGCAGACAAAAGACAAGAGCCTTGTTCATGATGGACCAGTTTGGCAGCCAGGAACTGTTAACTGCCACGTCAGTCACACCCATGCAGTAAATGAATGCTCGTCTGCAGCCGCAGTATTTATTGTTCATTATGTGTTTAACTTCTGTATGCAAACTTTAAGGCCTAATGTGAGTCATTGTTTAACACATCAGTACATTTCCTGACAGGGGAAATAAGTTTGGCTGAAAGTGGTCCAGTGGTGTTCAGGTGTTGCAGACTTGAAATATTGTGCTCTGCACACTCTATGGCAACCCCTTAGAAATCATTGGGGAAGGCTGTACATCAAATAAAACTGAAATGGCTGAAGAAATTATTTGTTTAATTTAACCGTTAAGCAGATTTATTCAACTGGGATTATTTAAAAAAAAAATCCATCTGAATATTTTTTTTTCCCCTGCTTCTCTGATGCTTAAATATTACTTTACAATGAATCCCTTTTTTAAGCCACTTTTCAACGTGGAAAACACTGGAAAACTTCATGTTCATAGAAGACAGATGTGTCTTTTATGAACTTTTTCCTAAAATGTTCCAAGGAAACAACTTCTTGACAACACTAATTAGGAAAGTTTAAATCAATCTGAGCCAGGTGTCTTTGTTTACTTTTTCCAGATGCTTAGCAACAACGATGAAAAGGGAGGTAAAAAATGGGTAAGCATCATAGTTATAAGCAGGATAGTGATGTAAACCATCTGCTGAGATTAACACAGCAGGAAAATCCACATTTCTTTATGTCCACAAACCATCTTCCCTTTTAGCCAACTTGTTTGGCGAGTTGAGAAGTAAACACAGATTTTCTCAGGTGCAGTAAAGGCTTTTTACATATCTTTACTAGAGGTACCAGTTGGGCTGAAAGGTGCTTTATACACACATTAGGGTATGGTTACGGAGGCCATAACTTGTTTTTTAGTTTAAATTATGGCTTTCTTTTTCTCTCCATACTGTGACAGGACAGACTCCCCAGCTAAAACTTTTAATTTGTTTGGAATCAAATATTTGATCATTGAGCGAATCAAACAGTTTCTGTAACACACAAAAAGTTAAAAACTGGGGATTTTAGTTAATTATTGAACCAATAATCTTGAACAGACAATCCTAACCCTAGGTTACTTGGTTCCTTTGGGATGATGATGATGATGATGATGGTAAGCTCTTATTTTTTTTGGCCATATATCCTGTTTACTCTGTGACCAAACAATCAGACAGAATCTATGAAGGGAATTTTATGATTTAAAACTTTTCATTGATGTTTTGCTTGTTTCCTGAGCTACTTTGAGATGAAGCGGGTATAATTATTCATTTTATTTTAATTATTTGCTTTTATGACAGGGTCTAACTTATAAGTAGGACTTCTGTTTGAAATTTTCTCCCGGGCAACACATTTACAGCTATGTTTAGACTGGAATGTATTAAAGCACATTAAACTGGTAAAGGACTGGTGCTTTTTTACTGTCTTTATATTATAGGGTTAAACAGATTGTGCTTGAGCTGAGAAGAAATGGAGGAAAAAGCTAAAAGTTCTGCATGAAGAATGTTTTATTGGTCTCCATATTGTTTACCTTTTCCAGCAGAGTTCTGATGTGTGGAGTTTGATTCATGGATCTTTTTTTCAGGTTTTTGCATATATCGGTATGAAATAGAAAATGTCCTTACTCTATTTCCTGTTTTAGATAAATGTTTTTTTCCTTCTTCCCTTCCTGCTTTATTGTGTTAATTTCATTCCACCATTAATTTCCCTTATTTTTACTTTCTATTTTCTTTTATTCTTTTCAATCCTTATGTTCTTTTTCTGTATTGTATTGTTTCCTTTCTTTCCTCTTTTTCAACTTGTCTTTTTTCCTTAAAGTTACGTTCCATCTTTCCTTTTGTTTTTTGCAACCTTTTCCTCTTTTCTTCCTCTATCCTCACCTGTATTTCGTTCCTTCTATCCTTACACTTTTCTTTCATCAGTTCACCCATCATGAAGTAATGATGGAGACCCAATGTGAATCCTGGAAAGGTACCCCGCATGAAAACGCTGCCAAGTCTGTGAGAACGTCATAATGATTTGCTGCGGCAATCCCTGGAAATGGAAGCAGCCAAAACAAACAAACTTCCTCTCATTAGTTCACTTTTCCAACCAGATTTTCCTGTCTTATATCTTTTTTTTTTTATTATTATTATTTCCTTTCATCCGCTGTCATCCATTTTTAACATTTTCATGGTTCATTTGGAGAAATGTTAAATGCTGATTTTACTGGAGAGGTTGTTTTTATTGTGTGAAAGACTGAAATTTGTTTTATAATACATGGGGAATTATAGAAACACCATCCAAATGGAATAACATGCTTTTTTTTAATAATCACTAGAAATCCTGCTTTCTATTCTTTTTTCTTTCCATTTGTCCTTCAGTCTGTCTTTCATGCTTTTCTTTTTTCCTTCCCTCCCATCCTTCAGTGCTAATTGTTTCTGATATCTCCCTATTTTGCGCGCCCTTATGTCCACGCCCAGAACCAGTTAGTTGACATTATTGGATTTTTAAAATAACTTTTTCTTTCAAATTTTCACTCTCTGTAAAGACAAACTCATCCACAGCCGTCACTGAGAAAGACCGTCTTACACACAGGCAGCATAAGTGATCAGATATAAATATATTTTCATTTATTTTTCTTCATTCAAACATTCCAGTTTTCACCTTTATTACACTATAAAAGCCACGATTTGTTGAATAATATTGAATTCTTCTGCTCTGTAGGGTTTTTTGTGATTATCAGCAGGAGTTCAGAAGTTTGATCCACAGATTCATTTTCGCCAAGCGGCTCCTGATTGGCATGTCGGTTTTCTCAAGCAGAAAGCATCCGGCGGTCCATCCGTCTCTCTGACCAGGTGTGTGTAGGTCTGTGTGTGAAGGCTTGTACGGCTGGCACCATGATTAACAAGTAGCATTGAAAGAACAATGTGGGAACATCATCGGCTGGACTTTTCACTCTGACCTATCGTGGTTTTGTGTTGATGAGGCTGAGAACGAAAAGGAAATGATACAAGAAGAGACACCCAACATTGGGACAGATTGTTGCGTTTATCCATTTGTTTTTCAGCAAACATCTCAACCACTATTTCAATTTGTTACAGATATGCAGAGGGCCTAAAGATACAACACTTGTGAAAAGTAAATCCCTACACCTTCAACTGTTTTCGCATTTTGTCACATTACATTACCACAACATCAGTGTGTTTTCATTTGGGTTTTTCATGACCGACCAACACAAAGTACAGAATATTTTTACAACTAAAAAATGTAACAAATGTGACAGGCATTTAAATTCAGCTCCCTTTACTATGATGCATAAAAAAAAAAAAAAAAAAAAAATAGAGAGACTTTAATGGATCATCTGATTGATAAAGGTGGTTACTCTGTGTATAAATTATAAATGCAGCTTTTTTGTGTGAAATCCTTTAAGGTTATTTTAGAGAAAAACTTCATGATGACCAAGAGATACAACAGACAAGCCAGTGGTGCAGATGATGTGAGAAATGGTGCTCTGATTACATAGAAGATAAGTGGCAGAGAACTAACCCTCTGCACATCAGATTGAAAAAAAGCATCTCTACGGAAAAAATGGCGTTAAAGGCTCTAGAGCGGGGAGGACAATGTAGGGAGGTTCAAATCAAAGCATAAAGCAAAAAAAGAAAAGGGAAATCATTTCCTCTCTGGGTTAGGGTAGAAAATACCTGCTCAAATACACCGACTGCTGTACCTGCAGCAATATGGTCCAAATGAACACAGGCCTTTTAATCGTAGAAGTTTGGAGCTGGGAAAACAATATAACTTGGATAAAACTGTATTGAACCTTGCTGAGGATTTTCAGAATCGCTGTAAATGAATCACAGTCCACGCAATGAAAAATACATGATAAGTTTAGCAAAACCAGACAGACAAATGCATGTTTTCAGATTTTCAACTGATATGCTTGTTTCATTTCACTTTAACACTATGCACCTCTTTGTGTTGGTCTGTAAATAAAATCTCAATAACTGTAGGTTAGAACCCACCGAATAAAAGAGAAACCCAGAACAAATCAACAGGTATGAATATTTCACAAGGCATCATAGTGAATTGTACGGAAGAGGATTAGGGCCAATGGAAAAAAAAAAAAAAAATTAACTGATTTTTTAATTTTATTTCAGTTTAACAAGTCATAATTCTGACTTTTTTCTCACAACTCTGACTGAATTATGACAATAAAAAAGTTAGTTCTGAGATAAAAGTCAGAATTCTGAGAAAAAAGTCTGACGAAGAATTCTTTTTTTCTATGTTAAACTGAAATAAAATGTAAAAATCAGTCAACTTTTTTTCTTTTTTTTTTTCAGTGGCCCTAATCCTCTTCCATAGAATTGGATTACCTAGACAGGACATTTTGTAACTGATTTTATCTTCATTAACTTGTTGAAACAACTTGCAGTGTTTGGATTCCTTTATCATATTTGAGAAGTTTATAATTTTGACAGCAACTTACTAAGTAAAATCCAACAGTTTTTTTAAAGCAACAAAGTATTTTTTGTTTTTGTTGTTGGGAAAAAAATATATGTGTGCAAATTTTTAAAACCTTATCCTGCTGGCCATTGTTAATATATGGATAAAAGGTTTAAGAGCTATCAATACACATTTGATGTGCCGTTAGCATGAAATAGGCATAAAATTAGGAAGCTTTGACTTTTAAGATTTGATTGTTTTGAATTTAATGTCAGCAAAATAACTACCCAAGATATTTTTTTGGCTGACAAGGGACACAGCATGAAAAATGTATTAAAATGGCTAAGTTATACAAAAGCGAGAAAGTTATAGAATTAAGGATAAGATGTTTTGTGGAAAATCTTCAAGGACTTGATTTTGTTTGGACTTTTTCCCAAAATGTTGTTGTTGTTTTTTTATTCTTCTTTCTCAATTTCCATAAAAGAATCAGAAACTCTTGAAATATTTCTGCTCAAAACAGAGGAGGGTTATAAAACGGTATCAAAGTCTTGACAATACTGCGTGAAAAACACAATTGTGTAAAACAACGCTGGCTTCACCACAAAGACACTTCCAATCTGTTACGACTGAAAAAAGTCATCACAGCCCATCAAAACTTTAAAATTGTAGGGGAAAAAACAACGGCAATAACCCAGAAAAAGGGGTCAGAGGTTAATTGTTCAGGGGTTGGATTATTAAAAGCTTTACTCCAACATTTAAGAAAAGCACAAACCTTTAACCTGACCACCCAGGAACACAGAGCAAATCCACCAAGAATATCAAGAGGTGAGTAAACATATGACCCCTGCAGCTTCCAAATCAGCAAAGGCACCATTAATACTGACTGATAAATGCATGTACTGGTGCAAACTTTACTGATAATACTGATCCCTGGTCCAAATGTTTTACAGCAGGTAATCTCTGCGGTAAAATAATCTAGATGTTAAACAGACCCGCCTGCATGTCAGAGCTGATAACAGCCCAAAACAAAACTACAAGAGCATCAAACCAGTTATCAATAAAATCCCTTAATTCACACAAGAAACAGACACTGTTTACTTTCAACACGCCAGCTGCTGTTTCTCTCATGTTTTTGAACACTTGGTTCTGTAAACAGGGACACCTTTATCTCTCGAAGCTACTATTTTTTTCAGCCTCTGAGATAGATGAAATATTGTTTACTTTATCGTTGTTGTCTAAGGCCAAAATTGTGTAGAAAGAGCATATTTTCGTTTGAAAACGCAAAGATCTGTGTTTGAATTTAGCGCGCTATTGACAAACTGTAACCCCCACTTCATCCTTCATCCTTTATCCTTCGTTTTTCAGAGATTCGGTTTCAGAGGCAACTTATCTGTTATGGAAACCCTGGTATAGGAAGGTAGTGTTGGGATTTTGCAGGTTTCAATCTAGTAAACTATGCCAAACCACCTCAGCTGACTTTAGGGTTTATCCAATCCCTAACCCTGATGAAGCATGTTACCTTATCTCTAACTATAAGCACATCCGTCTCACAGAAAAAGCTTCTTTCATCCACTTAAATCAGATATTTTTTTTTCTTTTGCTCATAATCTGTATGTTACATGATCCTGGATGATTGTCAGAACATTGATGAAGTATACTGGTTACTTTTTGATTTTGTTCTTTTTTTCATCCTTACTGCAGATGGAGCAGCACATTTGGCTCAGAGTCTTTGCTGCTTCACACCTGATTGTGAACCAACAAAACATCAACTGCAGAAAAGAAAGACCTGCACCAAATCATGACACATCTTCTCTTCTATATCTTCAAGTATCCTTCGTCTAAAGGAACCTCTAGAGATTACAAACCTTGTCCAGATCCGCAAAAAACATAAAGATCGGATAATCACAGCTCTGGAAGGGTGTAGATCTGGTTAGTTGTTCCTCTCACGTCAAGGTGGCTTTTTTATATAAATAATCTCAGCATGGATCAGATACCCCGACCCTCAAGCACACCCTAAAACGCTGTAGGTAACACTGAAAGATGGAGTTGAGGGGGTGGGTCTATGAGATAATACTGTGGCAAAATGCTTAGAGGGATGGTTTTCTAGCAAAACAGCTGGTCACATCTCATTGACTTTGTCTCCTTCACAGACTAACACCAGCGGGCCTCTCTGACTTTACAAAGGAAAACACTGTAATACCTGGGAAGCTGTTAGAAAAGGAAGGTAGGTTTCATTCATGTGTCAGTGTGGCTATAATGTTTAACTGTTATAGGTCAACACTTCAAATGATCTAAATGCTGAAAGTTGAATCAAAAATGAATCTGAATGAGGCTTTTTGTGTGTGTGAGGCAGTCTGGTGTGTCAGCAGCAAGCCTGAACCCAGCACTGGGGGCTCCATTATAAAAACAAACCAGCACAGACTAATGCACCTGAATACCTACATTCATACCATTCATCTGAAAATAAAATGATTAGTTTCCACAATACAGTTGTCTTTCTTAGACCTTGGCCTCCAATGCATTTCTGTATCTACAATAGATTTGGAGCTTTAAGGCTGTAAACCTTTTTTTTTTTTAAATAACTGCCTAGATCAAGGCTTGGTCGTGTCCTCCTGAGCCTGAGGAGCTACATCAGAGATTAAAGTTACATCCCAGCACTGATGGTGTTTTCTCAGAGTTAAACAGCACTCCTCTCAGATGTGCTATGAGGGAGGGAACATATGTATACTCTCAAAGTTCAGCAGCACCAGAGGCAGAGGCTGAAACCTTCTGGATGGTCAAAGGCAGCGGTGGGGAATTAAGGCAGCTGTCCACTCTTCATCAGTTAAATCCTCTCCATCATCGTCTTACTCATCTGTGGCTCATTGTCACTTTTAAGCAGAAACATTAGTAAGAAACCAGCCCTTGCTCTATTTCGGCGGGATGACAACAAGCGGGGGACCTCTCCTTGGCCTCCACATCAGAACCTGGGCGTCGTTGGCGTTTGGCTTCCCCATGGCGTTTGGAGGGACGGGCTCCATGCGGTTCAGAACTCGTGGCTGCTCCTGGTACAACCGACCCACCAGCCTTGCTCTGGAGCCAAGAGGCTGGGATGGATCCACCACAATGTCCACCCTCATCCTCCACTTGATGGTGTGCAGCAGGATCTTCTCCTTAGACGTGGTGTTTAATGCCACCAGCCAGGTGGTGAAACTCTGGTCCCTCTTGATGTTGGTCAATAAGGGTGTGTTGGACTCACTGACCGGTACCGCCCAGGTGACGCTCGGGTAAAAGTTATCGTTCATGCTGACGGTGAAGCGCGACGGCTTAGAGGTGGGGCCAACTATGGTGACGGTCTCTGTTGTGTTTCCATACCAGGGGTAGCTGATGCCATCCGAGTCGCTAATGGCCCTAACCAGACCTTCTCTCAGCTGAGGCAGCTCCCAGCTTGACCTGCAGGGAGACAGAAATACAGCCTCTTCTGAGTAAACCAGGAAAACATTAAATTTATAGAAAACAAAGGGCTTCTCTTCTGCACAAAACCATCCGTGTTTAACCTGAGTTCAAACTTTCGGGTAATTGTTGTAAAAAAGGAAGGCTGTAAATTAGAAACAAATAGATAACTAATCAAAGAACTGAAATGTTCGGTTTGTGTGATTTTATTGTAGAAATGCCTTCCAGATATTGTTAAAACATCAACTTAAACCAGTCTTTCATTAGCTTTATATTTAAAAACTGTACATTTCTATATTGCAATGAGAAACAGAAAAGACTGATGTTTTACAATTCATTGGTAAAAAGCTAATAACAAAGCACATGTTAGAGCTATATTTACGTTCATCAAGTTTTATCTTACCTAAAGTTTTATTCAGTGAACATTGAGTAAATGCTCTCTATGGCTATTTTTCTAGTTTATCATAAGAAATTCCAAACTGAAGATTTTATAAATAGCTTTCTCAGACCTTTGACAGCAAAGAAGTTACAACACTCAGTGTGTTTATATAATAATAAAGAATTGTGTCTGGTCTTGTTTCAATGTTGTGAAAAAGTGAAGTTTTTGATTAAAAAATATGTATATTATTTTTTTTTTTTTAATGAAAACAACTGCTTACTTGCCAATCTGGTCAAAACTTTTTTTTTCTGTACACAAATAAATTTAAAGAGGAGGGTTCAAAGTTAAAAGCTGTTTGTATTCTTTTAAATTTTCTGTACTATATTTAAAGTTTAAAAAGAAAAAAGATAAACTACAAGCTTTAGGTAGACTTTAAACAAGCCTGACTAAGATAAAAAAAAATGTCTTTTACTTTCTAAAGTAATGTAAAGCATAAAACTATAGCACTGATCACATTTCCGCCTCTGTCGCACATTTAATATCGCACAGCTCCTCTTAAAGCAGGGGTGTCAAACTGGTTCCAGAAAGGGCCGTGTGGCTGCAGGTTTTCTTTCCAACCAAGCAATGGCACACCAGACTCCACTCATCTCATCAAGTGAGTCCAATCTGAACATGATAACTTGATGAGATGAGTGGGGTCTGGTGTGCCATTGCTTGGTTGGAAAGAAAACCTGCAGCCACACGGCCCTTTCTGGAACCAGTTTGACACCCCTGCTTAAAGGTTTTAAATGTTTTCTTTGGATTTTTGTGCTCCTTTTACTTCTCTTGAAAATGAAAAAGGATGAATTCAGAATATTTTCTGCCCCCCCCCCCCCCTCACCGTTTAATCCATAACATTAGTACAAAAGAAAGACATTTATGATTCGCCTCAGTGTAATATGTATTAGTCTTAAGAAATGTCTTGGAAATTTCTAAACATTACACTAAATCTAACTTAGATAGATGAAATAAAAATAAATGAAACAAAAATCCTCCCCAGCAGGAGAGCATTCAGTCTCCTGTTATATTATTTAATGTTCAAACACCCAGTGGGGGTTAAGCTTTGTACCAACTTTATCACATGCGCTTTCTTCTCTATAACTCATCCCAATGGAATCTCATTCTGATGTCGGTCTGATGAATCTTTTCTGTATTGATTTTTCCAGATGTTTTCAACCAATATCTTGTTGACTCATGTCCAGTGTTCTGTCAGATGTAGCCAGATTTGTGAATAAAATGTCCTGAGAATTCAAAGATTTGATAACACGCCTTGGAAAAAAAAAAAACAGGCCCACAGCATGACAGATCCCCCACTGTATTTAACTGTGAGCTCATTGTTTATCCTAAAGCACACCTACTTGCAGCACAGCTCTGTCCCAAGCCTGCACCCACTAAAATTGACCAAAAAACATGTAAAAGTATCCATGCTGTAAAAAAAAGCAGACTTTTGTGGAATGATTTCCAAACACCGCTTAAGATGTAGCTTGTTGATGCATTTTCGAGACTCTGTGACCTTTAGATGTCCACCTTTGCTGCAGTTTATTGACAGTGACCTTTGACAAATTTTAATTTTTAAAACTTTAACCCTGTTCACTTTGAATAGTGACAAAGCAAATAGACAATATATCCTAGGAGTGGCTGAAGGTGCTGGATGATTTTGCATTAAATGAGCATATAATGAATGAATGTTTCACCTGCATGTATTGTAAAGAGATTGGAAAAGGGGTCAATAATTGTGAAACCCTAGAAATGCATTTCTCTCCTCAGTCTATTAGATCAATATTTAGCCAATGTTGTGTAATATGAGTTTTAATTCACTTTACACGTCTTTACCAAAGGTGGCAATAAGTGAAACCTATCACTGCATGATCACCTCTCTGCTTTCAGTTTGGTCATCTGATGTTGCTGTTCTGATCAAGAAGCCCTCTCCTCTCCCCGGTTTGTACAGTACACCCACCTTGGACCTGAACCCAGCAGGATTAAACACCCCCTCACATATGCCTTCCCTGATAACGCGTATTTGTGCGTGTTGTGGGCGACGGCATGTCCCCGTGGGCACAGTTTGAGTAGCAGAGAGCGAGCAGCAAATGTTGTTTTATCTAATAGCAGCTTTTCTATTTACGTGCCAGAGTCACAGGAACAAAATCTGTCGGTGGGCGTCTGAATGAAGAAGGCTGACAAGCACAGTGAATCTACTGTGCGCACAAATGCTCCAACTCTCCAAACCGCACCGGCATCAGCATGCTGGTGGAGCTTCCCCTAAAATAAATGACTCTGCTTGCGTGTGATGGGGACTGTTGTGTCAGGGCTGGTAACTCACATGCCGATGTCTCCGTAGGTGTTGTAAAACTCCATCTGAGTGCACGCCTGGATCCAGCCTACTACCCAAGTCTCGTTGCGCGGAATAGGAGGCATGACAATCCGCGCAGCGGCTTTAAAGTAGGGCGTCTTATATCGCAGCACAATGGGGGAGTTTTCTTCAATGACTGTCGGACAGTGGTCTATTGTGGCTGACAGGTCGTGCACCAAGATGTTCTCTCGTTTGATTCGCGACTTGTTGCAGGCAATGCTCTGAATGCAGCCCATGACTGTGCAGGAGAAGGAGAACCTCACAGGCCCGGGGAAGCGCGCAGCTTGCTGGGACTCGACCAGTACCAACACTATGAGGCCGTACATCAGATGAGACTGGGAGGCAGAGGTGTGTGTCACCACGCTGGAGGTATTAGAATAATGATTACATTGACTTTCTGACTCCTGGAGGCTCCAAATCAGAAGGGTTGAACACTTTTAGAGAATAACTCTTAGTCTCTGTACCCTTTCCTTGAGGATTTGCTTCATCAACCCCAGTCCGCAACATTTGATCCTGGTCCTCCTGCCCGGAGCTGTCATGTCATAAGAGGGCTTTGGGGAGCGACTGGAAGCTGGGCGCCGGCTGAGAGACCCGGTGATCGAGCGGCAGCAGCTGTGTTGGCGACTGCGGCTTCGGGCATGAGAAGATGAAGCAGCTGGACAGAACCCGAGCGATGGTGTCAGTGGATTCCGTCATGCCTTTCGACCCGAAGCAAAGCAGACCAGGCGAAATGAACGTTATCTGTGAAGCACCCGAACATCCGCGATACAAGATGATAAAAACGAATCTGCTTCCTGTGTAAAGGCTTCCTATGGATGGATAAAAAGATGTCATGCAGAGTAAAAACGGAAGGAACCCGGTGTGATGGTGCTGAGCAGCTTCCCCTGCATCCTGGACCGATGGAAGGGCTGAGAGGCGCTGTTCACCCTGCGTGGTGCTGAACCTGCTGCCTGGACCAATGAACTGCAGGGGAAGACTCGAGGCGTAGGAGTCTACACTGTAGTAGACCTGCGACCTGGTTCCTCCATATTGGAATAATGCTTTCTAATCCTGCAATAATAAAACTCAAGCCCCCAGTGGATGAGGCGAAGACTACACCAATCTAGGCGGTGCCCTGTGGGTTCCATATGGGGTGCTGTGATTCAGTGCTGTGTGGCTGAATCAATCCTGCTCAAAACTTCATGTAAATAAAACAGTTTCAATGTACTTTTCTAAATCCAACAATGCAAATCATGTCAAAGATATTTATGTGACAGGGGAAGAAATAAAACTTGTGTCAGAGTTCAAATACCTAGGCATCCTAATAGACTCTAAACTGACTTTTAAAATCCCAGATCAAAAAGGGGAGCAATAGAGTCAAATTCAATATTACAAATTTCCGTTTCATAAGATCAAACTTGTCACTCCACGCAGCTAAATTGCTCATGTACAGTATGGTTCGGTACCAGATCACCTACTGTCTTACAACATGGTCACAGGCAAATAAAACAACACTAAAACCTTTAGAATCTCTTTACAGACAATAAACATATCACCATTGTGCCATTTTACTAAAACACAAGCTTTTTAGCTGGGAAAATGTCATCAAATATGCAAACCTCTGTCTGTTTTACAAAATAATTCATGGTCTTTCATCTTCTCCAGTCAGTCTGTTTGTAAAGAGCAGAGACTCTTGGACAGTAACATGAGGGTCGGCTAGAGGAGACTGTGTTGTTCCTTTGCGTAAAAGTGCTTTTAGTCAAAGAGCCTTTGCAGTCACAGCATCGAATAGAGCTATGTCCCTCAGAACATCAGAGAACTTACAACTTACACTCTTTTCAAAAAGCATCTCAAAAACTGGCTCATAACACATCAGTCATGTCAGCATTAGTTGAATGTCTATCATTAACAAGCCATGCTGCCACTTGTGTCTCTGCTGTGTGTATGTATCTATGTATGTGTATTTGTACAAATGTATATGTATTCATGTATGTATGTGTATATATACATGTATATAGTTTAATTATTTTTATTTAAATGTTTTATTCTATTTCATTAGCCTAAAATATGTACTCCAGCAAACATGTATTCTGTATACCAGTTTTGAAGAGTTATAGCTGTTTTTTTATTTCTTTTTATGTTTGTCTTTTTTTATTGTAAAATGCTTACCATTTAAATTTTTTTTTTTTTTTTTTTTTTAGTTAGACAATTTTAAGATCTGTCCAGGGACAACAGATGAAAAATTGCCTTTTGGCTAATTCTGGTGCATTTGCAGGAATGCTTATTAATGTACACTGTCCCTGTCAAATAAATAAATCAGTTACTTTAAAGTTAAGCAGTCACAAATTAGGAGCAATATTTATGGTTATTTAGGCATGTTTAAAGAGAAAAATACATTTTTTTTTTTTTGTCCAAGTCATTTTTTTACAGTGTCATTCATTCATTTATAAAAATATTTCTTTGTTAAATAAACATTCAGTTTGGAGCTAAATATTTAGTCTGCAAATTAAATATTTAGTTTGTTAAATAAATATGAATTTTGGAGCAAAATATTTAGTTTGCAAATGAAATATTTTGGTTTTTTTTAAATAAACATTTAGTTTGCAAATTAAATACTTAGTTTGTTAAATAAATATTTAAATATTGAATTTGAAATAAATATTTAAAAAAGAATCCACTAATATCTGGCTAAAATTGCACCCTGTTAGTCTTTCCTGTAATCATTTTTCGTGTATCATGATTCTACCACCACTATGCATGGCCCTAGTGAAACTATAGGAAACTATACCAACGTTGAGCATGTTCTAATAAAACAATAATAATAAAGAAAGTCTTTTATGTGTTAAACCTATAAGATTCCTTTCTTTCCATTTTGGTAACGTGGCTCTGTCTCATCTGCCTCTCATCTGCCTCCAAAATCCCATTGTTGACAGAACAGCATGGTCTTAAGATGTTACACTGCAAATCCTTAACATTAAAATAAGAAATACTTGAACATTTTATCAACTGTTGAAGACACTAACTTTCATGCCAGCTAAATGCTTGGCTGTTTTTGTGGGGGAAAAAAAAAGAAATCAAGAGGATATGTGAAAATAAGTCGAATTTCTTTGAGCTTAAATGTTTCGTCACAGGTTTCAGGCATTGGTAAAGACTCCATGCAGCACTGCTGTAAAGCAGTTCTCATTTTCAGTTTTTAAAGTAGGCCATCATGTTTACATTTATAAAGGAACATGCTGATATGCTATTTTCTTTCTTCTTAAAGCTTGATATTAATTTTCCTGACTTTCTGTAGATGGATAAGTAGAACAGGTTTTCCCCATATCTTCATTTGAAGTGGAATGTGTGTTACTTCTAATGCATTTACATATAGAAAGAGTTTGGGGTTTTACTCACTTTTGAAAACAACTGCTATCATTTTTAGCACACCTTCAAATCTAGCATCACAGTGTGCAGTGTCACTGGGGTTCCAGCAGTTTCCAGTTCATTGCAGCCATGAGCTGCTGTGATTTGTTTCTTCCTGTCAGGGGGACTCATTGGGTCTTCAATGCCTTTGCAAACCTTTATATTAAAAGCCAATTCTTTGAACTGATGATTTGCAGTTCTACAGCAATGGCACAACTTAGACTTTTCAAGCAATGCATATATATATATTTTTCTTCCTATATCTTTTCTTGGTTTGTGGGGTATGCCGCAGTACCTTTGTTTTGTAAGTGTTTGGTGCATCCCGTATATTAAACCTGCAGCCATTTTGGAATTGTACACCATGTATATTTTTTTATTAGGCTCATCTTTTTTCCATCATGATTCACAATACATATACATTTCCCCCTAAAATTGTATTATGTCATTTTTTATTAAGAAAAAAAAATGCTTCTGTTTTTGTTACAAATTATGTTTCACTTCCATTTAAAAGTATAAAGAGAAATAGTATTTTAAGATTTTTAAATTATGTAACATACTTTAAACAACACTGGGATCTGATTAAACTTAATAATAATAATGAGGGGGAAATAGCTCCATGCTTTTATTTTGAAGGTCAATTGTTTACATCCGTCTCTATAAAAACTTCCGGGTCACTCAGAACACATCGTGCTGATTCACAAAAAAGAAGATAAAATAAACTTGCTGCGTTTGTACGTGTAGACATGTTATTATTATTAAAAAGCTAGATCAGGTTGACGGTGTCTTACTATAGAACGACATGGTAAGAGGCTTACAAATTCGTTAACCATTTAAAGCTAGCTAAGCTAATATTAAGCTAATACTCTTCTACCTTTGGTTAGCCCCTAATTTGAACAATATAGAAACTTTTGAAAAATATTTTTAGATCTGTTTTAAGCCATTCATTTTTCAACTATTTTTGCCGTTGCTTTCTATGTTGGTTGTTAATCGATATCTTTTCCGCACCAGAACACCTGCTTTGTTGTATTTTGTTGTTAACTTTGTGTATCCATCAGGTACCAGCAGACTTAAAGGCTCTGATCCAGAGGTTTTACCAGCTTCAGTCAGAGCGGGTAGAAACTTATCGACTCTTTGAAGAGTGAGTTTGAACTTTAAATTAATGCTTTGACTGCATAAACACACAAACACAGATACTGATCTTCCAAGATTCAGAGTAAGGAGCAATAATCAATAATTATCTGGTTAAGAATCTACTTGGAAACAAGTGCTGCAGACCATCTGCATTGAATTAGATGGATATTTGTGAGTGACATATGGAACACATGGAAAAAAATTATCCAGCAATTCACTTTAATACAAAATAACAAACTTTGCTGAATAAAATAAGTATCTTAAACATAAGCCTGTCCTGCTTAACTTCAAACTGTAAAAATGAATATAAAACAATAAATAGATGGTGCACATTTTTGGTGCAGCAGCAAACTTGTGAAAACTTGTAAATATATTTGTGCCTTTAATGTAATGACTGTAGGCTATAGTTGTAAAATAGAAAAAAAACAACCATTAGCTTAATGCCACATTATATGGCGATAGCCTACTTTTTCCAATTGTATTTCCTCTTAGCTCCTGCAAACTGACAATAAGCTGAACTTAAATTAATTCAGTGGAAAAGATGTTCCGCACCTTAGTCCATTTTTTCTTAATTAAAAGAAAACCCCACAAAACCAATGAAAGATGGGATGCTCAGGATAAAGGACGCAGCATCTTGTATGTTGGGAAGGTTGGCTGCCTGAAGAACCTCCATCCACCTCTCTTGATTCATTTTCCTGAGTGAGGTGCTCCAGAAGACTGTTTGCAGTTACACATTCTTTACCACATAAAATACTCAGTTCATCCCCCATACTGCTCTGTTGTCTCCTGCTATCTTCCCCGTGAGCAACACTTGGCTCAACCAATGGGATGAGGGCATTCTGGATAGTTGCATATATGTTGTCAGCTCATTGGTCACAAAGCAGGACAGAGCATTTTCCATTAGCTTTTTACTGACAATTTTTTTACTCTTGCAATAATAAGAGAAAAAGTGTGTTCCTTTTCCACTGAAAACGGGACAGGTACTTCTATTTCTAATTACAGAACAATTCAGTTTTTTCAAGGGACTGTTGCCAACCCTAATGGTATCAGACCATAGATGTTAATACGGATTAATGACTGAGGACCAGAGGTCTGATTCATGAGGTTAGCATAAATTAGGACAGAAACTTGGATATATCACTTTCAATGCAAAGGTTGGGATCTATTAAAAGGAAACTTGGTATCCCTCACACCAACTCTACCAGGCCTATACACATTTAGGAAGAAATGGAACAATCGAACGCTCAACATCACTGTTATGTCATCATAGGCGTCCAACGCAGCACTGTAATCCGTGCTTGGACTGGTGAACCACAACTATACATGAGGACCATTGAAATGAATTAAAAAGGCCTATTAGAAACTCAAATCCCTAATCAGAGCACACACAATATTTAAATTAGTGCTGTCAAAATTATTGCGTTATTATCACGTTAACGCAAGGCCATTTTAATGGCGATAATTTTTTTAACGTGAGATTAACGCTATGTGGTTTTATGGTACAATTTTTCAAGTACATCCCGCTGCAGCCTGCGGGAAGGTGGGGCTATTTTCCCGCAGTCTATGCATTTTCCATAGGCTTCGAGAGCGGAGCTCCTCAAGGAAAAAAGACGCACACACTGGGTGGCACTAGTGCCTTTTCTTTAAGCCCCACCACCAACAAACAAGTTGAGTGTCTTGTAACTAGTAGCAACCTGAAATACGCTGAGAAAACAGATTACTGAGGTGAAATGGAATCTGCTACGGCACTCTTGCTGTCTGTGTACGCCACAGGTCGGTATCGTGTGTGTGTGTGTGTGTGTGTGTGTGTGGGTGGGTGTGTGTGTGTTCTCATTTTTGTTAAGAGGCTGAAAAGTAACTTTCTAGAGCATAGACTACCTCCATCTAGTGATGTCGGTCTATTGATTTTGATGTATTGATTGAAAATTGTTCATTATTATCTTGGTTAATTAACATCTAATGTTAACTGTACTACATTTTATAGCAGTAGGGTAAAATGCTTGTCTTTGTTCAACAGACTGTATTAACTGTAAAGACTGTCTTTTACATCAGCCTGTTTTCAGGGCCTTTTTTGGCTACATATTTGTTATTTTTTGCTACATGCCTCCCTATCTTCTTGCCATATGTTTCTATGGCATAAATCAGTGTCTGTGACCTGTCCTCATTTAAAAAAAGAACATTGGCACAAACCTAGCCTGTATGTATTTTTTGTATGTCATCGAGAGTATTTAAATGATTTTCAATCAGAAAAAAAATGTGATTAAAATGCGATTAATCGCAAGTTAACTTAGGCATTGATGCGATTAATCGCGATTAAAAAATTTTAATCGATTGACAGCACTAATTTAAATGTTTTTTTTCACCAAGGTATCCTGACCAATGATACTGTTTATCTGCTGATCAGACTCCCTATAGCATTGCTCTTGGATTTATGTGCTGAAGGGGGTTCAGTATTGATGCACGCCACCCATCTTCATCAGGGGTCAGTGTGCATATACTCCAGTATAGCTACAGAAAAACTAAATGGTAGCAGGGTGCATGGCACAAAAGGGTTAGAAATAAATATGGATAGTTAGCATTTCATGGTATACATAGGATTTGATATACATTTAGCTGACCTTATTTCCTTCACAGCTCTTAAACATTAATCAACATTTATTAACTATCTGGCTGAAGCAAATTTAAGGAACAAAATAGTTAGTTGGTTTTTTTAATTAATTACGATGTAATCTTTGATAAATGAAACCCCAGATTCATTGTAAAAACATGGATGGGATGCAGTCTAGGCGACATTTGGAAGAAAGAGTAAAAAGGTAAAATTTCCTTTGAATCTTTGAAGATGGGCTTATTTGCAGCCTTTCTTAACTTCCATGAAATCATTTTTTGTCTTCAAGAAGGTTATTTTAATCTAAACTAAAACTACATAACTCTATATTTTCTTGTCAAATTGAACTTGAAGACAGTTAGCAGAGGCACACAGTTTGATTTGTATTGATTTAGCTTTTCTTTTTTTCTTTGGTGGCTGCTATACTGTTCAGAGGACACGAAGCCTACTTGAGGACTGGGCCCCAATATGACTTTGAGCACTATAAGCAGTTGGTGCATGAGATAACGCAAGCCTTCAGCGGCATTTCTAAGGAAGTTCTGGAGATCAAGGGGAGGCTTCATGGAGAGTTTGACCGAGCCGACCTTTCTGAGCACATCAACAAACTACAGAGCAAAGAGAAGCAGAAGCTGGAACTGGTGGGTAATCATCACAGTTTTACACATAAAAACAGACACATCCACACATTGCCTAAACTCTTACCTGTGCAGATGATGTCTTGCAATGTTACTTTTTGTGATTTTGCCTTAGTAATTAGTAATGCCTTAGTAAAACAAGCAGAACATGGCCTTTTCATTAAAGGACTGGTTACTCTGTAGATAATGATGATACCAGCTTTATCTGCAATCTTCTTAAGGTTGCTGTCTTTTCTGCTGGGTTCTTTCAACTGCTTCTCACAAAAACTCAATCACCTTCCTGAAAGGTTTGAGGTTTTGACATGGCTACAAGGTCTGGGCTTGTGTAAAGCTAGTGGACCAGTTATTTCTCTCACTCATTATTCTGGCATTTACCAAATAACCATCATTTGTATTATTGTAACTGACCTACAACTGTAAAGGTTTAATCTGGTTTAATGTCAGAAAGTTAAATAAGCTCTCTGAAGATTTGAGTACAGTCAGCAGAACAAAAACTAGTATTTATACCATTATTTCCTGCTTCTTGTTTTGTTTTTATCTTCCCAACATTCCCATTTTCTGCATCTTCTCTGGAGAAGGGATGATAGAATTACTTTGCTAATCCTTTGCGGGAAATTCTTTTCTTGCAGTGCAACAATTTACAGCAGAGAAAAAAATAAGATTGTAAGTAAAATAGAGCAAAATAAAATATAAGATGGAGTAAAATAAGTAAATAAAATTACACCCTTCACATATAGTGTTAAATTAGATATAAGAATAAAATAAGTATCAAAGTATATGCAATCAGCAGTATTTACAATTTACAATGCTGCTCATTACCTACATCACAATTATTGCACATGACTGTGTTACTGCACATAGTGAAGTAATGATATAAATAATTAAGAATTGAAATGAAATGACTGTCAGAGAGATGAGTTCTGATATATATTTCCTGCTGTGAAATTTCCATTATCTCCTGACTTTTTACCTGCTGTTTCTTCTGGACAGACGGCCAAGCTGCAGCTGGCCAAGCAGCAGGCCCAGGATCACCCAGAAGATGAAGGCTATCGAGAAAGAGTTCAGGAGATCAGGCACGAGTAAGGAACATCATCCCTGCTGCATCATTGGTGCATTAGCTCATTGACCTCTTGTCTCAGTTATTTTGATCTGATAAAACACTTTTATTTTATTTTATAAAATAATTGTGTAGATAACTGTAGTTATAAAGAATGTCTTTGCTTCTATCATTGCACAGAATTATAAAGAACAAAGAGGTTCTGAGTGAGATCATGCAGGACTTTAAATACGATTCAGAAGATTGTGATTGACAGCTGACAGCCTGCACTATCAGCCGTCTCACATGACAAGGCCACGGATCTGCCTTCACCCCTGCGCTGCTTCCATCTCCAAGCTCTCGTCAGCTCTTATTGATCGGCCTGGGGCCCCACCCCGCTCACTGCTGCAGTCTGATTCCACCCAGGGGGCCTCTGCCTTTCCCTGTGTTAATATGTGAATTGGTTTGTTGGTTTTGCTGCATTAAGCTAAGAAGAATTTTTATAATCTGATGAAATGTTTGTAGAAACACCAAATGAAATAATTACAGAAGCTTGTCCAACGACTTAATTCATCTTTTTTTTGTTATTTTTAATAAAAAAGACTACAAAAGCAATGTTTAAACTTTTTGTGGCTGCAATATTACGGTAAAAAAGCTTAGCGTTTACTTAAATAGGCAGTTACAAAGTATGAGTGCTCACAATGTTTGAAACAGGGATTCTGGTTCCTACAGGGAGGCTAAATTACCGATGCTTAATGAATATGTGGATGTATGTTCTGAGGAGTTTCGATTAATGTTGATAATTTTTGTTCATCCTATTCCCTTTTATAGTGAACAGTATGTGATCTGATAATTATGTAAAACATTTCTACCTTAGGGTCAAAGGACCCTAAGGATCAGAATATCCTCTTATTGACATCGTTTTACATTATTTCTTTTCAAAAATAAAATAAAAGGCTCTAATGATCTTTTGTCACACTTTGTTTTTATACAGGTGCTGGTCATAAAATTAGAATATCATGAAAAAGTAGATTGATTTCAGTAATTCCATTTAAAAAGTGAAACTTGTATATTATATTCATACATTACATACAAACTCATATATTTCAGATGTTTATTTTGTTTAATTTTGATGATTACAAATCAAATATCAGAAAATTAGAATATTACTGAAGACCAATAAAAACAAAGGATTTATAGAAATGTTGGCCAACTGAAAAGTATGAACATGAAAAGTATGAGCATGTACAGCACTCAGTATTTAGTTGGGCCTCCTTTGGCCTGTATTACTGCAGCAATGCGGCGTGGCATGGAGTCGATCAGTCTGTGGCACTGCTCAGGTGTTATGATAGCCCAGGTTGCTCTAATAGTGGCTTTTAGCTCTTCTGAATTGTTGGGTCTGGTGTATTGCATCTTCTTCTTCACAATACCCCATAGATTTTCTATGGGGTTAAGGTCAGGAGAGTTTGCTGGCCAATTAAGAACAGGGATACCATGGTCCTTCAACCAGGTACTGGTAGCTTTGGCACTGTGTGCAGGTGCCAAGTCCTGTTGGAAAATGAAATCTGCATCTCCAAAAAGTTGGTCAGCTGCAGGAAGCATGAAGTGCTCTAAAACTTCCTGGTATGTGGCTGCGTTGACCCTGGACCTCAGAAAACACAATGGACCAACACCAGCAGATGACATGGCACCCCAAACCATCACTGACTGTGGAAACTTTACACTGGACTTCAAGCAACGTGGATGAAGTGCCTCTCTTCTTTTCCTCCAGACTCTGGGACCTTGATTTCCAAAGGAAATGCAAAATTTACTTTCATCAGAGAACATGACTTTGGACCACTCACCAGCAGTCCAGTCTTGTTTCTCTTTAGACGCTTCTGACGCTGTCTGTGGTTCAAGAGTGGCTTGACACAAGGAATGCGACAGCAGAAACCCATGTCTTTCATACGTCTGTGTGTGGTGGTTCTTGAAGCACTCACTCCAGCTGCAGTCCACTCTTTGTGAATCTCCCCCACATTTTTGAAGGGGTTTTGTTTCACAATCCTCTCCAGGGTGCGGTTATCTCTCTTGCTTGTACACTTTTTTCGACCACATCTTTTCCTTCCCTTCGCCTCTCTATTAATGTGCTTGGACACTGAGCTCTGTGAACAGCCAGCCTCTTTAGCGATGACCTTTTGTGTCTTGCCCTCCTTGTGCAAGGTGTCGATGGTCGTCTTTTGGACAACTGTCAAGTCAGCAGTCTTCCCCATGATTGTGTAGCCTATAGAACTAGACTGAAAGACCATTTAAAGGCTTTTGCAGGTGGTTTGAGTTAATTAGCTGATTAGAGTGTGGCACCAGGGGCCATCAATTTTGAACCTTTTCACAATATTCTAATTTTCTGATATGATGAATTTGAGATTTTCATTTGTTGTCATTTGTAATCATCAAAATTAAACAAAATAAACATCTGAAATATATGAGTTTGTATGTAATGTATGAATATAATATACAAGTTTCACTTTTTAAATGGAATTACTGAAATCAATCTACTTTTTCATGATATTCTAATTTTATGACCAGCACCTGTAGCTTGGAGAAAAAAAAGTTATTTCAACAAATGTGTAAGAAAAAGGAAACAAATCACCTTAAGACTTGAATGGTTTCTTAAGGAGAATGCAATCTCAACTAACCTGATGCAGAGTGAAGAAACAATTTTCCCTGTTTATAATCGTCTGTGGTGTCAGCTTTTTTTTAAAGGTTGAGAATTTTCAGAAAAAAAATCAGAAGAATCAAGATATACCTTCAGTAGAGCCTGTTTACCAATATAAAGTAGTTAAGAACACATAAAATAAGTTGCTCAAATAAAAGGAATTCAATTAACAAAGGAGATATTATTTTGCCTGGGTCAGTTTAGAGAAGCACTGGAAAGCCATGCCTAATACATCTGCAGTGAGCCGTTTCTCAGAGACATTACCAAGTGGAGTTAACGTGGAACTGATTATCTGACTGTTCCAGGTGGTAAAAAAAAAAAAAAAATATATATATATATATATATGTATATATATATATATATATATATATATATATATATATATATATATATATATATATATATATATATATATATATATATATATATATATATATATATAAACTATTAGCCTCACTTGTTTTAAGGTCATATTTAATTAACAGATGATGGGAAAAACACCAAAGAGAGCACATCTCCCTTTTTATGTTTTTTAAAGAAAAAACTTAATAAACCCTAAGACTCTTAGCAGAATATTTTACAAAAGTGTAATATATTTAACACTTATTGAGAGTAAGGACATCTTATACCTTACAAGGATTGAAGTGCAGGGTGCTAAGGAATTATCGGAACTGCTGGACAGTCAGTTCATATTTCTGCAACATCATGCTAGAACAGATCTTCCCATAACATGCTGCAATAACAAAACAGATTCTGAGAGAACCAAATTGGCTCTTAGTGAGTTCTTGCAACCTTTTCTTAATGCAGATGTTTTTGGGTTTGATAGCTTTTGGTATTAATAGCAAATAAACATGGTGCAAAGGCAGGAGTTTTCATGAGTTCTGCAATTAAATTTTTGTGAAATACAAAATGCCTTTTTCTCACCAACACAAGAGAGAAAATACATTTGTTTCTGAGGATTATCTTAGCCTTAAAAGCTGTTACGAATTTCTGAATTAGAACAACTATTAGAACGACTCTATCAGTATGTTGTTGGTGGTGTGATGGTGTGCGGTTGCTTGGCTGCCTTAGGATCAGGGAAAATAGACAATAACTGATGGAAGGTAAAAGTCCTGAAGAAGAATGTTTGCCCATCAGTTTGTGGCTTTAAGGTTAAGTATGCTTGGGTTACACAGGGCAGTGACCGAAATGAAATCAGTCAAAGTTATATCTAAATATATTTAAAAAAAAAGAAAACAAAAATCAAATGAACAATACACCTAAAAAATAGATCAGGCCAAAGTTCCTCCACATTAAAATAAAGAACTCATTACCAGTTAGAAAAGTCACACAATAAGTTATTCTTCATCAAAGGGCCAGTACTTTTTCACATATGGCCTGCCTGCTGCAGGCAGCTTTTCTCCATAAAGAATAATGAGGTCATAACTGTGTGAGATCATATTTCTCAGATATTAAAATGTGTTTAAGGATCTGACGGTGAACTATTAACTGAAAAAAAAAGAAAAAATGTGAAGGAGCAAATTACCTTTTCACAGTAATATATCTGATCATGATTATAATGGATCATCTTTTGTTCTACAGTGTAATTTAATTTATCACAGAAAAAACCTGATTCAGAAATAAGCAGTTACAGTCTAATTCCCTTAAAAGAAAAAAATAGGTTTGTTTACAATTATGTTCTCTTGGGGAGACCTCCTGATTGTATTGCAGTACTTGATGGGCTGCTTAGTTTTTTCTTTTACATAGGATAACTCTGCTGTTCTCCTCAATTCAGTTTATCTATAAAGTGCCAATTTACAACACATCATCTCAAGGCAATTTACAGAGACAATTCAACCAGCTCATACAGTCAGATTTATTCAGTTTTCTATCTAAAGAAAACCAGCTGATTGCGTTTACTCATTGAATTGACAGCAATCCCTCACACTAAGCATGCTTGTAGCGACAGTGGAGAGGACAACTCCCTTTTAACAGGAAAAAACTCCAGCAGAACCAGGCTCAGTGGGAGCAGCCATCTTTCGAGGCCAACTGGGGTTCAAGAAGACAGAAGCAGAGATACAAAATGCAACTATCAACCAGCTCCAGAGGCGGTCCCCTCCAGGAAAGAAAGAGCCAGGAACATAGAGATTACATACAGTTAGTCATAGTAAGAGAAACAGGACTACACTAAAAACCAGGTCAATCTCCAACATCCATAAACAAAGGTTTTGCTGGCAGCAGAACACAGCTGATATTTCTCTCCAGGATGATGTTACACCCAAACAGGAACAGACCAGATGAAGCTACTATGAGAATAAGCAGAGAGAGCATAACGTTAGAGGTATAACTAACATATATTGCAAAATGGGAGAATAGAGATAGAATGAAGCAGAAAGATGCAAAGGGGTCTCCAAGTCCTCTAGCAGTCTAAGCCTAAAGCAGCATACTGTTACTGTAAAGATAGTTCAGGATAACCTGAGCCACTCTACCTATAAGCTTTTATCAAAAAGGAATGTTTTAAGCCTTGCCTTTAAAGTAGGCAGGGTGTCTGCCTCACAGACTAAAACTGTTAGTTGGTTCCACAGGAAAGGGGGCTTAATAATTACAGGTATGGTGGAGGATTTTCTTTTTCCGGTTGGATCATCAAAATAAGTGGTCCTCCTAATTGTCAATCATTCTGGTGATATGTTTCCCTTACTGGTGGTGAGTCTGACATAGTGGGAAAATTGCAAATCTTTTCGAAAGTAAGCTTGTATGAGCGATGCAAACAGCAACATTTAAACAGAGTGTGGACGAGGAGAAATGGGCTTGTGTATGCTCTCGCACGTGTTTAATAGTTGAGAGGGCAAGTCTTTTCAAAAATTCGCGAAAATTCTCCACTAAACCTTTACAAAAACAGCCTCCCATTCTACTTATAGAAATTCTAGGAACCATTAGCAAACCTGCAGATTGAAAGCAAAGTGCTCTGTTAGGGGTATAAGGAACAATCCCTCTCTGATATAAGATGGAGCCTGGCCATTTAAGGCTTTATATGTGAGAAGGAAGATTTTAAATTCTATTATGGATTTCACATGAAACCAATAAAGAGAGGCTAAAATAGTAGAAATATGATGTCCCTTTTAATTTTTATGTGAACTCTGACTGCAGCATTTTGGATCAGCTGAAGGCTTTTAACTACAGTTTGTGAACTTCCTGATAGTAAAGAATAACAATAGTCCAGCCTTGAAGTAACAAATGCATGGACTAGTTTCTCAGCATCACCCCTGGACAGGAGATTTCTAATGTTTGCAATTATCATGAGATGAAAGATGGAAATTCTGGAAACCTTTTTGATATGGGATCTAAATGACAGGTCCTGATAAAAAAATAACACCAAGAGTTTTTGCTTAATTATCTGACATCAATTTAATTCCATCCAAATTGAGTTACTGACTAATCAGCTTCTTTTTCAGAGACAGAACATAAGGTTTATAGTAATCCAAGTTTTTATGTATTTAGGACATGCCTGTGATCTATTTAATGGTTTAGTTTAATCAGGATTTATAGACTGATATAGCCGAATATCATCAGCATAACAGTGGAAATTAATCCAATAGTGTCTAATAATTAGACCAATTAAGACGATATATATATATATACAGTATTACTGTATATATATATATATATATATATATATATATATATATATATATATATATATATATATATATACAGGTGCTGGTCATAAAATTAGAATATCATGAAAAAGTAGATTGATTTCAGTAATTCCATTTAAAAAGTGAAACTTGTATATTATATTCATACATTACATACAAACTCATATATTTCAGATGTTTATTTTGTTTAATTTTGATGATTACAAATGACAACAAATGAAAATCTCAAATTCATCATATCAGAAAATTAGAATATTACTGAAGACCAATAAAAACAAAGGATTTATAGAAATGTTGGCCAACTGAAAAGTATGAACATGAAAAGTATGAGCATGTACAGCACTCAGTATTTAGTTGGGCCTCCTTTGGCCTGTATTACTGCAGCAATGCGGCGTGGCATGGAGTCGATCAGTCTGTGGCACTGCTCAGGTGTTATGATAGCCCAGGTTGCTCTAATAGTGGCTTTTAGCTCTTCTGAATTGTTGGGTCTGGTGTATTGCATCTTCTTCTTCACAATACCCCATAGATTTTCTATGGGGTTAAGGTCAGGAGAGTTTGCTGGCCAATTAAGAACAGGGATACCATGGTCCTTCAACCAGGTACTGGTAGCTTTGGCACTGTGTGCAGGTGCCAAGTCCTGTTGGAAAATGAAATCTGCATCTCCAAAAAGTTGGTCAGCTGCAGGAAGCATGAAGTGCTCTAAAACTTCCTGGTATGTGGCTGCGTTGACCCTGGACCTCAGAAAACACAATGGACCAACACCAGCAGATGACATGGCACCCCAAACCATCACTGACTGTGGAAACTTTACACTGGACTTCAAGCAACGTGGATGAAGTGCCTCTCTTCTTTTCCTCCAGACTCTGGGACCTTGATTTCCAAAGGAAATGCAAAATTTACTTTCATCAGAGAACATGACTTTGGACCACTCACCAGCAGTCCAGTCCTGTTTCTCTTTAGCCCAGGCAAGACGCTTCTGACGCTGTCTGTGGTTCAAGAGTGGCTTGACACAAGGAATGCGACAGCAGAAACCCATGTCTTTCATACGTCTGTGTGTGGTGGTTCTTGAAGCACTCACTCCAGCTGCAGTCCACTCTTTGTGAATCTCCCCCACATTTTTGAAGGGGTTTTGTTTCACAATCCTCTCCAGGGTGCGGTTATCTCTCTTGCTTGTACACTTTTTTCGACCACATCTTTTCCTTCCCTTCGCCTCTCTATTAATGTGCTTGGACACTGAGCTCTGTGAACAGCCAGCCTCTTTAGCGATGACCTTTTGTGTCTTGCCCTCCTTGTGCAAGGTGTCGATGGTCGTCTTTTGGACAACTGTCAAGTCAGCAGTCTTCCCCATGATTGTGTAGCCTATAGAACTAGACTGAAAGACCATTTAAAGGCTTTTGCAGGTGGTTTGAGTTAAATAGCTGATTAGAGTGTGGCACCAGGGGCCATCAATTTTGAACCTTTTCACAATATTCTAATTTTCTGATATGATGAATTTGAGATTTTCATTTGTTGTCATTTGTAATCATCAAAATTAAACAAAATAAACATCTGAAATATATGAGTTTGTATGTAATGTATGAATATAATATACAAGTTTCACTTTTTAAATGGAATTACTGAAATCAATCTACTTTTTCATGATATTCTAATTTTATGACCAGCACCTGTATATATATATATATATATATATATATATATATATATATATATATATATATATATATATATATATATATATATATATATATAGTTAAGAGCGTTGGGCATAGCACTGATCCCTGTGGGGCACCACAAGTAACCTTGGAGCATGAGGAAGATTTATCATGAATGTGAATAAACTAAAGTCTGTCAGATAAAGGAGATTTAAATCAGCCAGTGCTGTTCCCTTAAACCCTACAAACTACTCAAATATTTGCAATTAAATATTATGATCAATTTTATCAAAGGCAGCCTGGACATCTAACAGGATAAGTACAGATACAAGTCAAATATTTGAGGCCATTAGAATATAATTTGTGACTTTGACCAGAACTATTTCCATGCTATGATGTGCTCTAAAACCAAATTGGAACTCTCCAAAAAGTTTGTTATAGTGTAAGTGGTCACACACTTGGGTGGCAACTATTTTCTCAATAATTTTAGATAAGAAAGGAAGATTAGATATAGGTCTATAATTGACCAAGTAATCTGGATCAAGAGAGATTTTCTCATGTAAAAGTTTAATTACAGCTACCTTAAAAGAGTGGGTGATATGTTAATCATATCTAAAATGCAGGTGGAAATTTGAGGAAGCACTCTCTTAAATAACCTGGGTGGAACTGGATCTAACATACAAGTTGAAGTCTTAGATGAAGATAATAGATTTGCTAACTCTGAAAGTTCAACTGGATCAAAGCAGTCTAAACCCGGTTCAGATTCTATGGCTACCTCAGATGCTGCCTCACCTTCCAGAGATAAACCAATGATAATTAGAGGGGTCCCAATGTTCATATTTTTAATAGAATCAATCTTATTTACAGTATAAAAAATCACATAAAATCATTACTGCTAAAAGCAGGTGGGATTGATGGTTCAACACCGATATGGCTCTGGGTGAGTTTCACAACTGTAATTTAGGATTATTTTTATTTTCCTCTAATAATGAGGAGAAATATGCTGCTTGTGCTTAAAGAAAGGATAATTTTATCCAGCAGTAAACTGTTTTTGCATACTAGCTAGGAAGGGTAATAAACCAAATGGGCGAACTCTGCAGTATTCTTTAGTGATACAGAAGAGATAGAAAGTGGAACAGTTTTTTTTTTTTTATTTATAACATGCATGCATTATGAATTATCTGATATTTATCTGCTTAAGTGAAACCATATTTTGGGGGAGGAGAACGCTGTTAAAGGAGAATTCCGGTTTTTAACACTTTTAGCCCATTTTCTGTAGTGTCCAGGATGAAATCGAATGATCGACACCAAAATTTTGACAGTTGGTCCTGTCTCTGCTTTTTGGCTCATTTAGAATCCACCCCTGGCTGCTTCAGAATGGCTTCCATAGTGCATGTCCGATAATGTCCTTAAAACAACCTTAAACGTTCTTTTTTTAAAATATGCTACTCACCGGGTCGTCAGCGCTGTTCAATGACGTTCCAAAAAAAGTTTCGTAAAGAAAAAACGTTCCTGTAGTGTTTTATTTAGCATTTTGTAAATCCCATTGAGTTCTGTTGGAATAGTCAATATTCCCCTGCCACCGGAAACGGAAATGGGGCCTGTTTACACAGTTGTAGTCTTTTCGCTTCACTCTGTGTACTCCGACGTCGAGGTGCTAACGTCTCTGTTAAACACTTTAAAAAACTCTGAAAATGGAATACGAAAGGTGGATTCTTGATTCTCGACGTCGGAGTACACAGAGTGAAGCGAAAAGACTACAACTGTGTAAACAGGCCCCATTTCCGTTTGCGGTGGCAGGGGAATATTGACTATTCCAACAGAACTCAATGGGATTTACAAAATGCTAAATAAAACACTACAGGAACGTTTTTTCTTTACGAAACTTTTTTTGGAACGTCATTGAACAGCGCTGACGACCCGGTGAGTAGCATATTTAAAAAAAAGAATGTTTAAGGTTGTTTTAAGGACATTATCGGACATGCACTATGGAAGCCATTATGAAGCAGCCAGGTGGTGATTCTAAATGAGCCAAAAAGCAGAGACAGGAGCAATTGTCAAAATTTTGGTGTCGATCATTCGATTTCATCCTGGACACTACAGAAAATGGGCTAAAAGTGTTAAAAACCGTAATTCTCCTTTAAAGTAATCCCAGAGGTTATTAAAAAGTGGTCCGAGAGGACAGGGTTGTGAGGAAATACTGTTATTCTGTTGTCATATTCAATGCCATATGTAGGAACAAGGTCCAAAGTATGAAGATGAGAATGTGTGGGACTATTCACATTTTGAACAAAGCCAATTGAGTCTTAGAGAGCATTAAAGGCTGCATTTAAGCTATCACCCTCAATGTCAACATGGCTGTTAAATCTCCTACTATAATAACTTTGCCAGTATTTAACAGTAGAGAGGCTGCAGACAGATGTGTTGACTCGGCTTCCTGTTCTGCACCTTGTCCAACCCTTTTCAAACTCAGGTAATGGAAAAGCGGCAGATCCTTGAAGTCTCATCCAGTTGCTGACCAGTTGGCTTTTCTTGGAGGGATCTCAGAGCAGTACCAAGTACGTGGGCTATGAATTATTGTCTTGTAGGACCTGAAAAAGAAAGAAACTAGGTGGTTCACTCTGAAATTATGTCAAAAGAGAGTTAAAAAGATCCCACTAATGTCTCTCCGTCTGCCTGCCTCTTTTATCTCATCTGTGCTTTTGGAGGAAATCATTGGAAAACAGTCACACTCTCTGAACAGAGACAATACTCAGGAGACAATTTGTGCCTTTGGAAGCAGAAAAATCTGAGCATTGCTAACCTTAACAAGTCAGGTAGACTGAAGATATTTTTTCGGTTCAAGGACTGAGGATGTGGCTGAACTTTTCACAAAGAAATACTTAGAGTCATTTTTGGTCACAACGGCCTGCCTGCCAAGTCAAAAACAATAGCAGCTTATGACAGGGGGCTGTTAATTATATGTAAATGGTTTTTTTTTTCTTTTTTACTCTTTGTTGTGGTCATCAGCTAAAGATCACAAGTTTGCTCATTAAATATGAAGTATAGTCAGACATCCTGACAAAGAGCATGTCCTTCTTTCTGTTCCCACTTCTGAGCCTGTAAAGTTTAAACCGCACATTTTTACCTGATCATAAAGCACAGACTGAAACTCAACAGAGCCAGTTCAAAGGAAATCTTTCCTCCTTTTTGCTTGTAAAAATGCTGAGCAGATGGCAAATGGAGAAAAAAAAGGCCGGGTCAGAATTTCAGCTCAGTGTACTGATAGAATAACGGGGTGTTTGTGAAGATATGCTAAAACTCTCACAGAAGAAAGTGGCCTTTGCTTACCGACCTGGTTCCGTGTTCTGTGTGATTTCTGCAGCCACACCCTCCATTGATCATACAGCTTGATGGACATGCTGCTGCAGCCAGAGGCATGCTTGCGGACCCAGCCAAAGAACTGCTTGAGTTCCTGCCGCAGGGTGGAGTTCTGTTCAGTGCCCTTATGATCACAGGAGCCTCTTTGTAGCAGCCCTGAAGGGAGGGGGGGATGAATAAGAGAAAAAGAGAGAGAAATGAAAGAAAAGAGAAAAATAGAGGAAAATGTCAGGAGCATTAGGGTTAGAGTGCCTCTAAAAAAAGTATGCACGCAGGCTTGAACGTCTCACATTTTGTCACTTTACGAATGAGACAGTAATCCAAAAATGTGAAGGAAAAAAAATAGCAATAGGTTTACATTATTATTTATATAATTTTTCTTCCTAAAAAAAAGCTCCAACTTCAATTAATTGCTTGAATTGTTTACAAGTATTTGAATTAACTTCCCCAACTTAATTTATTTAAGTTTTCGAGTTATAAATATGGCTTAAGTTGGCTCAACTTGACTCAATTACAACTGAAGCAATTTAAGTTGGAGCAGCATTTACTTTTTAGAGTGACATGTTGGAAGTACAGTTTACATTTGTTTAGTCTCTCTTTAGTCAATTATTTTACAACTAGTTCCTCCAAAGCATTGGTCATAATCCTGTGAGTTAGATTTAAGGGAATCTGTAAGGATGTGTTGATTTTAAAAACACTTAACAGAGTTTGTCCCAGCATTCCAACCTCCCTGTGTCCGTTGCTTGAAGAGCAAGCTAACTCAGAGCAGGACAGGAGCAGACAACAAGCTTTGTTGAGTGTTGGCTCCATCCATCCATCCATCCATCCATCCATCCATCCATCCATCCATCCATCCATCCATCCATCCATCCATCCATCCATCCCTCCATCCATCCATCCATCCATCTTCTTACACGCTTATCCCAATAGGGGTCGCGAGGGGTGCTGGTGCCAGCTCTCTACGGGCGAGAGGCGGGGTACACCCTGGACAGGTTGCCAATCCATCGCAGGGCGAGTGTTGGCTTTACACTGGAAAATGCTAGTTTCCCTAGGGATAGTTGCTAAAAGCTGGACTAGTAAACTTTCCCTCTTAAAACACATGCACTTACAACAGTAATATTACACTTTGAAGTTGTGTTTTACAAACTTTTACATTACTGCAGAGGAGGTTATGTTTTTAAGGAGAATTTGTGTCTCTCTGTGTGCAGGATAACTTAGGGTGACCATATTTTCATTTGGGAAAACCAGGACACCTTGGAGCGGGGGGGTGGGGGGGTGGGGTGATTGAAAGAACAAATGTCTCATCATCGGGATTTGCTCCGTGATCAGAGGAAATGTTACTTGCCGCAGAACAGTGGTGAAAATTGGAGGTTCAGTTTAATATAATACAACTCTGTGAATAGTTCCGTCTGAAATGAATGAAAATAGTTGTTTTAATGGTTATTGAGTCAGATATGAGGCGGTAGTATTTGATTTATCTAAAGGTTTTTATCTGTTACTGTGTAAATGAGTTTGGCTGTAATTTAAGGACAGATTCTAATATATCTGCAGAGTGGGAACTATAAATCTGATAGGAGTTTAATTTTTTTATTGTTGTTTTGCACAATATGCTTAACTACGTATTTTTTGTTGTTGAATATTAGAGATTTTGCAGATATATTTTATACATACATTGTTTAGATTTACTTATGTATTTCTAACCCTTTTGTAGTATAGAAATCCCTTTATTGTCCCACAATGGGCAAATTTACAGCAGCAGAAAGATTATTGAAAATGGTCACACAAATGTGGACCTTAGAAAAATGTATAAGAATAACATAATAGGGAAGAGTTAAAATATAAACAATAAAATACTGTAAAGTGTTTTAACAATATAAAACTGGAGAATAAATAACCAATTTGCAGCTATGGACATTTTTACAGTATTGGATATTTGAAAATAGCAGCAACATCAGAGATGTGCAGAATGACAGCAGCAGGTTATTTAACTGACTAAGGTTTCTATCATTACATTTGATTTGATTTGTTCCTGCTCCCGCTGGTTGGAACCTTTATTCCACTCTGGATTCTTGTGAGTGTAGTCTTTGTTGGCTTTAACTTTTTTTAAAAATCAATAAATAAACAAACAGTTTTGAAAACCTCGGTATTCATTCTTTTCCTGCTTTGTGTGTCAACTTTCACGGTTGCTAAGCAACAGAGCATACGTCGGTAAAACCCGCTGAAGGGAGGACCTGTTCGAATTTACAGCCAAAACTCTTCCGGCCTCCTTATTTTCAAGGACTTCGAAGGATCCAGTCTAGGTAGACCGCGTCCTTGGAGGATGCAGCCCAGGTTTTCGAACAGAGCCTCTGATTAAGAGCAGGGCTGCCTGCACTGACGCGGCTCAGGGATTACGTCACACGGAGCGTCGTGCGCAGTGAAATCAGGACATTTCCTCACTTTCTAAAAAAAACGGGACGCCCGGGACAGGACGTGAATACGGATATGTCCCAGGAAATACGGACGTTTGGTCACCCTAGGATAACTTGAACATTTATGAATGGATTTTTAATTAAATTTAGTGATATATAGAGAAAACAAGCAATTCTCCCCTAAACCAGAGGGTGGCAGCATTGACTATTGGCAGGTTCAGTATTGGACTCCAAAAGTCATGATCTAGGTGTGCAATTGTTAGCTATAGGTGTAGGTCATCAATGGAGGCAAAAGATGCTGCTTGGCAGAGGTGCTTTTCTAGCTTAGTTTGGATTCAACACCAACTTTCTTCTAGTTGCACAGGGTGCAGAAGTTTGTCTTGCAAGCAAAAGGGCACTGCTTCAAATCTCAATTCTGTCTGTTTGTTTGTTGTGCCCTTGGGAAAATCCACCTTACCCACATTGGTGACTGATGGTGGACTCAGTGGCGGAGCTAGATCTGTTTTCAAGGGGTGGCCAAAGGGTGAGCAAGGCTTTATCAGAGGGGTCCATATACAAATGATGAACAAAAGGAAACAAATATTTTCTCACACACACTCAAGTTAAAATGTTTTTTTTAACAAAGATTTGCCATGACCAAACAAGATGTGAAAACGCACTATGGAACAGTGAACATGTAAATGTAAACTCAGAGCCCAGAATATGACCAAAAACTAATTCTCAAAAATAAATAAATAAAACTGGCTCCAAATAGTAAACTGCAAGACAATACCACCAGAGCTGACCAGTATTACCCTGGTGGTATTTATAAAGGTTTGAGAAACACTGCTATGGTCAAATAAGCTTTGAATGGGAACAACATACGTACTGCAAACTCAAAGCCAGGATACACTCAAGAGAGCATAATTCTCAGATTTTGGTGGGAAGAAGCAAAAGGTTTTACAAAGTCATCCATGTTGAGGGCATGTGCCCTCCTTGACTCAACACTGAGAATGCCAAGATGACTTAACCTGTCATCAGCCATAGTTGTTCTAAGGTGGTTTTTGATCAGTTTTAGAGCAGAAAAACTTCACTCACAAGATGCAGTACTGACTGGGATAACAACCGAAATCTTACAAAGTCTAAATAGCTCATGAAAAACCTCTTTATATGGTTCCAGGAACACAACAAAGTCAAGTAAAGTAGAGGATTTTACTACTTATTAACTCTCTGTCACAGCCTCTAACCTGCTGGTGCCTCTTTAAGAAGAACTGGCTCTACAAAAAATAAGACAGCCTGGTATTTAGACCCCATGACTGTTTGGCACAACACTATGTTAACTATCATTTAAACTATAGTTTTTCGTTTTCTGTAGCTAGCTAAAATAAAAAAAATTAAAAGTAGATCCATTAAATTAATTAATATAACTAGTTAGGTTATAATTCAAAGCTTTCATATGACAGTTTTTATAGTGACATTTCAGTCACTATAAAACTTAACAATGGTTTTTCACATATTTTTACCACACACATTTCAAGCAAGAGCTGGGAGATATATCCTGGCCAAATGAATAAAACATTACAGGGCAGCATTTGCACTAAAACATATGTTAAAAAGAATCTGTTTAAAACACAATCTATCAGCAGTAGTATAATCGAGGCACTACGGAGCGGTGCACAACCATTTTTTCTTTTTCTTTTTAGAAATGTATGACAAGTGCCGCCTCTCATTAGGAAGGTAACACAGCGGTTACCGCTGAGCGGTAAAATGTTGTAAATACCTGCAAAACTCCTCAATGTTGTTCTCTAGAGCTGCGGGTATGTTTTGGATCTAGCAGGAACCACATGTCAGTTTAACCAATGAACAGCGTCAGTGAGCAGCATGTAGGCTGCTACTGCATCGGGCTGCCTTCAGGGACAGTCGGAAATTACGGTTTTCCTGGCAAATCTTTGCCGATCTCATAAGTACTATATTTTAAAATGACCGTTTCGAGTGGGGTGGCAGTAGGGGTGGCAAGGGCTCGGTTGGGGGTGGCAAATGCCCCCCCTGCCACCCCTCTGGCTCCGCCACTGGGTGGACTGAGGGCCAGAAGGCACCAGTGTAAGGCAACCTAGCTACTCTCAGTGTCTACCAGGACAGCAGTGGATACAGTGTAGTCCACCACCATCAGTGTGTGAGAGGATGAATGATCAACACTATCGTTGAGTTTTAAAGGTAACACTACACACTAGTGTTAGATAGGGTGACCATATTTTCATTTGGGAAAACCAGGACACCTAGGAGCGGGGGGGGGGGGGGGGGGGGGGGGGGGGGGGGGCGCGGGGTTGGATGTCTCATCATCGGTATTTGCTCCGTGATCAGAGGAAATGTTACTTGGCGCAGAACAGTTGTGAAATTTGAAGTTCAGTTTAATATAATAATACAACTCTGTGAATAGTTCCGTCTGAAATTAATGAAAATAGTTGTTTTAATAGTTATTGAGTCAGATATGTGGCGGTAATGTTTGGTTTATTTAAAGGTTTTAATCTGTTACTGTGTAAATGAATTTGGATGTAATTTAAGGACAGATTCTAATAGATCTGCAGAGTTGGAACTATAAATCTGATAGGAGTTTAATTTTTTTTATTGTTGTTTTGCACAATATGCTTAACTAAGTATTTTTTGTTGTTGAATATTAGAGATTTTGCAGATATATTTTGTAGATACATTGTTTAGATTTACTTATATCTTTCTACCCCTTTTATAGAATAGAATAGAAAATCCCTTTATTTTCCCACAATGTGCAAATTTACAGCAGCAAAAAGATTATTGAAAATGGTCACACAAATGAGGACCTTAGAGAAATGTATAAGAATAACATAATAGGGAAGAGTTAAAATATAAACAATAAAATACTGTAAAGTGTTTTAACAATATAAAACTGGAGAATAAATAACCAATATGCAGCTATGGACATTTTTCCAGTAATGGATATTTGAAAATAGCAGCAACATCAGAGATGTGCAGAATGACAGCAGCAGGTTATTTAACTGACTAAGGTTTCTATCATTACATTTGATTTTATTTGTTCCTGCTCCCGGTGGTTGGAACCTTTATTCCACTCTGGATTCTTGTGAGTGTAGTCTTTGTTCACTTTAACTTTTTTTAAAATAAATAAATAAACAAACAGTTTTGAAAACCTCGGTATTCATTCTTTTCCTGCTTTGTGTGTCAACTTTCACGGTTGCTAAGCAACAGAGCATACGGCGGTAAAACCCGCCGAAGGGAGGACCTGTTCGAATTTACAGCCAAAACTCTTCCGGCCTCCTTATTTTCAAGGACTTCGAAGGATCCAGTCTAGGTAGACCGCGTCCTTGGAGGATGCAGCCCAGGTTTTCGAACAGAGCCTCTGATTAAGAGCAGGGCTGCCTGCACTGACGCGGCTCAGGGATTACGTCACACGGAGCGTCGTGCGCAGTGAAATCAGGACATTTCCTCACTTTCTAAAAAAAACCCGGGACGCCCAGGACAGGACGTGAAATACGGATATGTCCCGGGAAATACGGACGTTTGGTCACCCTAGTGTTAGATAAATCCAACCCTGGTAAAGTAAGTGCTTAACAACAAAGTGTTGTTTCATCTCTGTCTTATTGAACTAGATCTAGTGTAGACTAATTTAAACTAGCTACCTTTAGTTGTGTAAAATTTACCCTCTCCGATCTACATCTTGGTTGATCAGAACTCAGTTTACATCGACACTAAATAAACTGATCCAATCATGATGTGTTTTGAAATGTAACAAGCGTTCGATCAAATCAAATTAAATCAAACAATTTAAGTGTCTGCGGAACTGTCTAATTTTCCAGAAAGGCTTTAGTAGCACAAGAAGAAACTACCTGTTTGGTAAACAGGTACTAGTCCACTCATCCTTAACTTTAGCTGCTCTTTGTACCTGCCCATCACATTTCTTTTTCTTCAGTTGTGTCTGTTGATGTAATTCTTTCCATTATGGACATTCATCTCATCTTTGTATCCATACTTTTGTATTTTGCAGACATTTTAGTTAAATTAAGGGCTCAGCAGAACCTTATGCTAAGGCTCATTAGCTGCAGGGGTAGAGGGCAGGACGGCAGGTTCATCAGCACATTACATTTAGAGCCACTTCCTCCAACAAGGAGGACCAGGAGCCAGTGGATAAAGGCTATAAGTAAAGAGAAAAACAATGTTGATGTTGCACACATGCGCAGTGGAGATTATTTAACTCCAAAGATCTGAATGTGTGTATACATGGACAACAAACTGGAATGGCAATAAAAAATAAAAAAAATAATGCAATAAAAAAACTCCCTCTCTCTTTTGGAATTTAATTTCTTTCCGATCTGACCAAACTGGATTAGAATTTTCATTCTGACATGTTTACATGAAACATTTTTGATCTGATCAGGCCTTCAATTTGACTATTTGTGTCCATCTAAGCATAGCTTCTTTAAAAGTGTTGAATTCAGTGCTTTGTGCAGCCCACTTTTGCTTACACGTCTACTTACCAGCGGGGTACATCTAGAACCAAAAATGTGTGCTGACTGTAAAAAAGCTCAAATTCATTAGGATCTGATGGACAGTCTTGGTTTTTAAATATAATTAGCCAGTTGGATTTAGGTCAGGACTTGAACTGGAACTTTAAGACACATGGTTGCTTCAGTCTACCACTTTTCATCAAACCTCTGACTAAATCCTTTAAACCCTCTGTCCACCTAGAAGGTTAAGCTATATCCAAGCCCCAATTGTTTTGCAGAATCTTACAAACTTTCAATATCACATTATTTAGCTCCATCCATCCTCCCATAAACTCTGATCAGGCTTTGCTACTCCTTCATAAGTAGAGCATCCCCACAGCATGATTCCGTCACAACCATCTTTGAGATTAGGAATTCTATATTTAGAATAATGTGGAAAACAGAAAAAAAATATATATATGGCTAAATACTACAGATTACCCACACTTTAGGAAACATATAATGATGCTATCCATAATATCTAACAGTAAAACATGGTGGGGTTATCATTGTGGTTTGGGAAAACACTTCCTAATGAGAATCATACTCCAGCTAGACAAGGACCCCTCAATATACTGTAGAGGTTATAATTTGGATTAATGAAATAAAAATCAAGGACTTTATTAAACCTGCAGCCTCAGAAATAAAAAAAGTTTGAGTCTAATTTGCTCTCATACAAAGATAAAAAAGCCTAGAATCCCTTTGTCTATAGGCAAAGCTAATAGATAGACACAACACAAGCAGTATGCCTCTACAACTAGGAGTTTTCTCTTTAGTAAATCATGAGCTACAAATCTCTATTAGGATGAAAGTTAAATCTCTTTTGTCATTCCTCTCAGAAAAATTGGGTGTTTTCTTACAGACCAAGGCATGTCCTTTGGTTTAATGTCCTTAACCTGGGAGTAACGCCATATTTGGTTTACAGAGAGAGAAGGTTGTCATCTGCCAGAATCAATCCTTTATGGCAAATGACAGGGCTCGATAACGACTTCCCCCCCCTGGGAACTAAATACCAACATAAGTTATTCAGCTCATTATCTGCCCCAAAACCTGCTTCCACTCAAGCTTTATAGGCTCTGTCTTTGCCACAGACTGACAGCCAGCTCCGTAACTGGATCAATCTTTGAAGCGGACGAGAGAAATTCATCAAATGTCCCCCCGGCTCTCCAGTTCCTTCTAATCCTCTCCGCTGAGATCTCTATCTAGGTAGCAAGCCGACTGATGTTGGGTATCCTCCAGGTCACATGCGGTTTGGATCTTTTTGTGCAGCAGGATGTTTAATCAGGAATAAGAGACATTGTTTTTCTGGCTTTAATTACAAATGAGAGGTTCATTATAAGAAAGCAAAAAATGGTGAAACTGTTGGGATCTTAGATTTTGGGTTTTAAAACTCCTAAGGCTGTGAGTCTGCAACAGAACAGAAAGGTTTCAAACAATTTAAATTGTTGCAGTCTTTCTATCTAAACATCAGTGGATATTACTCAAAAGTTCCTGTTAAGGCAGATCTAGTCTGGTATTAGTGTGAAAAAAATTATGTCTAACAAAAAATGTCCTTTTGGATCTATTTTACACATACCTGATGGGGTGGAGGCTGCAGCTGGGTGGCTCCAGTCACTCCAGATTCCAGGTTTTCTGGAACCAAAGATTCCCACAGGCTTGCACCTCAGCTGGACAAAATAGACAGTGCCAGGCTTGAGGCCTGCCAGACGGCATGATGTCAGGTTTCCAATGTTATCAAATGCCTGAGAGAAGAAACGACACAATAATCAAACAATGGATGGCGAGTCGATGTCTTTAAAAACGTCATTAAAATTCTTTAAAAATAACATTTCAATTCAGTAGATGTTTAGTTATAGAAGGACAGTGAGAGTAGATATAAAGTCTTAACACTTGTACAACTTTCTGTAGACATGTCCTGTAGAATCAGAACCCTTGTAGATAAATCTCCTCTGCCTTCCCATCAGTGTCTTTTTTTGCAGGAAGAATAAACCTTTCTTGTGTCTTTTTCTTTCAGAAATACTGAGCTGCTTTGTTTTTAAAACATCAAAGACAAAGTCTGAAAGAATCACAGCTTCAAAAACCTCTACTTCTACTGAGTGGGATCAAAGCCACGGTTCAGAAGACTGGGATTGAATTAAAATGAAGATATGAGGAAATCTCATTAATACTGCCAGGGAAGCTTTAGCAAAGACTGTGATAGTTGAACAAAGTGATGTGTGGGTTACCTTCCATTCAGCACTGTCCTCCAGCCTGTAGCGGATCTGATATTTGGCCTGAAACAGGATGTCTTTGAGCTCAGGGGGGCTGGTCCAGCGGACCATCAGCTGGTCCTCAAGGGTGCCGATACGACTCACCTGCACGTTAGCAGGAGGGTCTGTAGTTACTGCAGAGACAAGGACAGGCTGTGAAGGGTTTGTACAGAGCTCCCTTTTACTCATTGTGCAGATTTACAGGATTTGAGAGTTAAAAAGGCAGAAAGATAAAATTAAAATGGATTTAGGAAACACTGAGTAGGGGTGTCATATAGTATTATATGACACCATCCATCCATCCATCCATCCATCCATCCATCCATCCATCCATCCATCCATCCATCCATCCATCCATCCAACCGAGCAACCAGAGGCAAAAACTTACAATAATAGAGCAACCTCATGATGTTTTTGATATAACTTTTTTTTTATTAATTAAATGAATTTTTCAATCTCAATAAAACTGCTAGAAAAAAGGAAATGGTTGAAAATGTAAAATACTCCAAATACAATGTGTTCCTTTGATCTTGTGTTTCAGGTGGTTTACTGACTTTGGCTCTGATAAGTCATTGCTTGCTGTTAGAACATGATGTTCCTTATTAAACACAACTGACTGCAATAAAATAATTCAGCTGCTTTGAAGGAGAGGAACCAGAGGAAGCATTAAAGAGATAACCGCACAAGAGAAAAATAAGCCACTGATTAATGAAGGTATTAAATATCTGTAAACATCTGCTCAAAACAATTCCTCCGTTTCTTTCACTGCTCATTTATTGCTTCTACATTACTGCTGTATGAATCCCATAACACCTCAATGTTTTCCTAAATGTTCACAACCTCCAGGTTATTGGTTTGCCGTTGTGGTTTGCAGGTAGCACATAATGGGCAGAAACAACTCCAGGATCAAACGCTGCTTCAAAGAATTTTATGTTTAAAGAAGGTTAGTGGAAAACAACATGAGGAAGTGTTGGCCAAGTGGTAAGAGCAGTATGCCTGTGCTCTGAGAAGGTTGCAAGTACTCGGTTTGATCCCCACAGCCTGCCACTCTGTGTCTCTGACAAGACCGTTAACTCCACTGCTCCCCGGACTCTGCACATTGGCAGCCCACTGCTCCCCAAAAGGGATGGGTCATATGCAGAAATTTAATTTCTCCATTGAGACATCAATAACTTCTATATTATTGCTTTAAGACAGGCATACCCAAACCCTTTCCTCAAGGGTCGCTATCCTACAGGTTTAAGAGATTTCCTTACTTCAGCACAGCCGATTTTCATGTATAGCTTATGAACAGGCCTTTGCTGAACTGCAATGATTAGAATCAGCTGTTCTGTAGCCAAGAAACATTGAAAACCTATAGGTTAGCGGCCCTCAAGGTCTGAATTCTGGTATTCCTGCTTTAAGGCATTAAATGTATTTTTTTTTTTTTTTCAGTTTATTTATATAGCGCCAATTCACAACAGATGTTACAAAAGGAGCTAAACCTAAAACCAAAGAAGACATTAACTAGGAGGCATCTAGTTAACAGTTCTAAAAAAAATTTTTTTCTGTCTCTAAGCTGTTGTCATTTATTTGAAGGAGACCAGAAAAGGCCAAATGGGGTTAATGGGATAATACACTGTTTTTGATAACAGATGAATACAAAAGCAATTTTAAAATTGTTGTTTAATTAATGAGGGGAAAAGCGTCCTAATGGGAAAGAGTATTTAGCCTCCTATAATTATCCACAACAGCTGAGATCACTCATAGCCACTCGATGGCACAACAGTAGAAACACAAAATTACCTTGTGAACCTTGTCAACGATCAGATAACTTAACTGTAACTTGTGCCGACATATGGCATATGCTGGTGTACGTCGGGAAATTTGAGCATGCTCAAAATTTTTCCAACATACTTGCCATATCTCGACGTGTGCCAGAGTGTTCCAGCGTACTTCAGCACGCTCGTAACTTATACAAAACATACCCATAACTTATCCAACATATGCCAGCATTTTTGCAAGATTTTCCGTCAACAGGCATACGCCCGCTAAATCGTCATGGTGTGACAGGGGCTTGACTTAATAAGAGGGAGATGGGAGATAAATAACATCAATGGCAGAAAATCCAAAGTAAAAACCACTGCTGACAAAAAATAACACAGAAGGCTGTCTCAAATGTACCAAGAAGAATATTCATTTATGAAAGGTGAGTTACATCTGATGTAAAAATTGTGTTTAAAAACAAAACATCATATCGCCACTCAAATATATTTGTAGTGTGACTGCTTGGTTTCTTCAGGAACTGGACAAACCACATTATCAAATGGCAGTTCTGCTGTTGATCAGAAAGTCCTGACTGAGAATGTTTTTGCATTAGTTGTTTTACCTTAAGCTCAAGGGCACTTAAGTTATGAAAGAAAATAAATTAAATCCAAATGAGATTCTATGGCATGGCCTAAAACAGAACCATCAGTATTAGAATCCCTCCAGCGCTGTTGCTAAAGAAGAAATAGTCTTTAATGAAGGGTTGGCCAAAACTACTGTGCTTTTTTACTAACAAAAAAATAAACTGCCTGTATTCACCCTATATGGCAGTTCAATCTTGAAAAACTATCAAACTATCAAAGAGAGAAAAGACAATTAGAAGAAATGTATTGATACAATTACTTGGTCTTTGGCTCTCAGAAAGCTGCAGGAAACACAGCGCTGAATTTTGATAGATATGCATGAACTGGAGTAAAGAACAGGGCTGTTTCTCAAACAATTGAGGGCTGGTGTCCTGCTCCTTTCAGATGTATCTCTCACCATTAGCACCTGAAACAAATTGCTTAACTATCACACCAGCAGCAGTCAGGCTCTGCTGATGAGTTCATATTGGAGAATATCTCCAGGATTAAAGGACTAATGTTTCAACAGGACCTTGAAAAACTAATTTATAAGTTCCTCTTTGGTAGAAGGACTGAACGGTGGAGCAGTGGGGTGGCGCTGTTGCCTTGCAGCAAGAAGGTTCTGGGTTTGAGTCCCGGCCCAGGATCTTTCTGCATGGAAATTGCATGTCCTCGATGTGCATGTTTGGGTTCTCTCTGTGTACTCCAGCTTACTCCCACAGTCCCAAAACATGACTTTTAGGTTAATTGGCTTCTCTAAATTGTCCTTGAGTGCCATGACCTCATCAAACCAAAGACAGGTGACCACATCCCCCCAGTTTTAAAGCTCTTATACTGACTCCTCATATCTCAGAGAACATACTTTAAAATACTTCTGTACTCAAAAATAAATTACAGATTTGCGGTCAGTGTATCAAACCACCCAGACCTCTCAGGTCTTCTGGCTCCAATTTACTCTGCAGAACAAGAACCAAACATGGAGAAGCAGTGTTTTGTTTTATGCTCCAGTAATCTGGAAAAAACTCCCACAAAGTTGCAAAAGCACTGAGTCGCTTAGTTGAAATCGAGATTAAAAATGCATCTATTTAAATTTTATACTTATAATTTACACTTATATCCACAAATTTTAAAGTATCACTTGCATTCTCTTTAATTCTTTGTGTTTTCTCTATGATACTGCAATGTATATTTCTTTTTCTCATGTATAGCACTTTGAAGTGTCTTGCCACTGAAATGTGCTATATGAATAAACCTTGCCTAACTGAATTAAATCCCCTCTTCATTTCCCTAGATGCCAAGTTTTCTCCAGTCTTTCTTATCAACTTGCTGCCTAATAACCAGCTTCCTGGATATTACTGACCTACATCCAGGACGTCGAGGGAGAGGATGTCAGAGGTGGTCGAGCCCAGCTGATTGGTGACCTCTATCCAGATCTCATATGGGGTGAACAGAGCAATCTTGGCTGAGATATGACAGACGTAACCCTGCTTCTCTGCGATACAGTTTTCACACTCATTTTCTTTTTCATGCCACCTGAACACAAAACAAAAAAGCTAAATATTTTGCACTAAAGATGATAATCTACCAACCTGCGACTGTTGCACACATTGGTAAAAGTGATAAACTGTATGACAGAAACACTTTGCTTGTCTACCTGAGGAATGTTGGGTTATTCACTGTTAGCTGCCTTACCTCAGTTTGTATTTGAGGGTGTGTTTGGTTGGGATGTGGGTCTCACAACTACCACCCACCCTCCACCTACAGCTCAAATCCTTTGCATTGTGGGACCAGCATGTTAAATTCACTGGCTTCTCTGGAGGCACTGGAGTACATAAAAAAATCAGATTCAGGCAATAAAATTATACAATAGACTTTAACATCTTCATTTAAAGTAAAAGAAAATATTGGAAATTGTTGCTGTTTTAAACAAGTTAAGAAATAAACTCAAAGTATTACTTTGAGTTAATTTCTTCAATTTTTCACTTTAACTGTTAGTAACAGAGTTAACATTTTAGGTCTTATTATGTGACGTTATGCAGGTCACTTATTAACATACAATTCAGAAACATGTTCTTTTTGGCTGTTTTTTTTTTTATTAATTGTTACACATAGGCTTAGAGAGCTAGAATACTGAAGACTGATTTCATTGTACAATCAAACACTCTGGAGGTAAATTTAATGTTAAAAAATCATTGTAGCCTCAAAGCCATGTTGGAAATTATTTCAGGCAAAAAAGCTTTCACCAAATAATCAGATGTTGCATCAGTTTTCAAGAAGCACCTTCCTTGCTTTTAATTTAAATTCAGTTTGCAAATAAGGTATTATGTTAACCTTATATAGTCATTAAAATAAACTAAAAATGACTAAAGAAAGTTATCAATCAAAATGAATATAAATCTATTTTTTAGTTTCTTGTTTTAAAGCAATGCATGACATACCCCTGAACTAACTTTGGTTAAAAAAGACAAGATGGTGGACCGAGAGCATCTGTGAGTCTCAGTTTCAAGATAACATTGACAATCTTCTCAGTCACTTTTGAGTATCTATGATGCTTCCACCACCGTGCTTTACTGTGATGGTGCCCAGTGTTCCTTTTGTCACATATAGCTTGGTTTACTCAGTTTGGATTCCCTTCAACTTCAAATTTAACTTTCATGTTTTCAGTGTCTCCTACATGGCTTGAGGAAAATTGAAAACAGGACTTGTTCTGTTTTATAGCTTTCATCTTGCACAGTGATTTTCGCTTTCAAATGATAAATTAACAAAATGTAAAGAAATTCAAAGGGAATCAAGCTTCTACATACTGCCCACATAGAGACATGAACCAGCGAGGATGCGCCCATCTGCTCTGTGACACATCAGGTTGTCTCCGGATCTCTGCTGTGAGCCGTTCAGGCTGTGAAGCTCAATGCTCAGGATATTGGAGGACACGATGCTGTAGGTACTGCTTGACAGACGAACACCGTTCAAAGTCCAGAATAATGAGCTGGGGTGGAGGCCCAGCTCTGCACTAAGCGTGCATGTGGCTGTCAAACTAGAGCCGACTCTAAGGACAGGATCTTGAGGGGAGATTACTGCAACATCTGGATTAACAGAACACACCAGACAAGCCTTTAGAAAAAGCTGCTTTTACAACTGCATTTTACTTGAGCAAGCCTTGGTTTTTAGCGTACTGCTGCTTCTGATAACCAGGAAATACATGAAGTAACAAACTAACAGTTTGTTCAAAACAAATGTACAAAACCTGAAGACTCGTTTAGCAAAAAATGAAATTATTTATACATGGGGAATTTATTATATTAAAAAAATCAAAAACTTACATCCATGAACATTACTTTGAGGAAATCAGAATTTTATTATCAATACATTTTTTTATCTGGAGCATAGATGTAAGTTCAGTTCTCTGTGCCTCAAAATAGGGAAAAATACAATGAAATCTATAGAGTTTCATAAATAAAAAAAAATAGCTCCCTGCCTAAATGTGCCTTAATTCACAATGAAGAGGAAGAACTCGAAGTATGACAAGAAAAAAAGCTGCTGAACGTTCAGTTAAACTTGCTCAGTTTCACTGAACTCTCCTATTTAAATATTTAAGAAGATGGAGTTTAATTAGATTGTTTCATTCTACAGCGCTAAAAAAAAAAGGAAAGGCTTCTTTGGTTTCAGTGTTATAAGAGATCGTGAGTAGACATGACCACATTTCAGTATCGCAACATATTTGTCTTTTCTTCCTTAGTGATCTTTAGAAAATGCAGCCACACTGCACTACAATTAAGTAAGAGCTCTGCTCGCATTTATAAGATCATAATGAAGAAGATAAATAGAGCTGTCACAGCAGTAATCAAAAGGTTCTCTGGTGTTTTCCAGCAAAAATTATTAAACGTTGTTTTTCCATACATGAATAATCTTTTAAGCATAAAGCTTGCTGGTGTGATTGATGTCCCCACCGTAACTCTTAAATAAACCTACTGGGCTTAATTAACAGCACTGCAGGTTTTTGACACTCACTCATTATTGAGTGTGCGACCATATTTTGAATTATGCTCCATGTAATAATAATAATAATACAAGTAACTAATTAGATTGCTGTGGGTTAGGTTGAATAAAAATATCTGAAATGATTGCTTTCATTTCAACTGAAAAATACAAGCATGTCAATTCTCAGTCATTAACTAAACCTCAGCACGTCTTTACATGTTTTCTTGTTAAAGAGTCAAAAAAAAAAACACACTAAAGATTCATCTTTTATTTCTTTAATTAGCAGAAAAGTGAATATTTCATCTCTATTTTCAGGAATAATGTCAACTATGATATAAAACACCTGTTTTTAGGTTATTTTATCATAAAAAAAAAATGTTAAAACTGTAAATTTACAGCCATTTTTACCATTTTTCAAGGCTGCACTTTTAAAAGATGAAATTGTCCAGTGAGCTGTTTCCAAACGAAATTTCTTTTTGTTTTACACTTGCATAAACAAAATGGCAAATAAAATCTGTTTTAAGTCTCTAAAGTCTAAAAAAAATTAACAACTGAAGTATAAAAGATTTCCTTATATACTATTCTTTCTTATATTTTGGTGCAGTACTTCTGTTTTTTTATTTGTGTTTAGGATGATTTAGCATAGATTAATTCCCTCTAAAAATTGATCCTTTGTCATGTATTAGCAAAAACTCCCAAGAAAAGGTTTTGCAAAGTATTTGTGTTATGCGTAAAACTTGTTTTTTTGTGTGAATATTTAGCTTTTTTTTATTAAACTAGTCCATGTACAATTATTATATGCAAGCTAAGATGTGACAATAAACCAAATACAATTGATAAAGCTATAGAATTAAAATTATAGATGCTTATCTAATGTGTGTGTCTCATTGCGGAGCATCCTGGTTTGGAGGCAAGATGAAATTACTTACTTACATGTGAAGGAGAAGAGCACATATGGAGCTAGAAGCAGCAGAAACAAGAAGGAAATCATCTTCAATGACCTGCTTTTCTTTTGTTTTCCTCCGGGTGTCTTTTTGAAGTCCCAGTATCCCACTACCAGATGGATTTAGTGGAGGCAGGAGGACTTGTTCATCTTACCAGTTGGAGTTCTTGTGACAAAGAAAACTACCTGCTTCCAGTCTAAGAAGCACAAGTTGTACCTTGTTACGTCTCCAGTTGCTGTAGTTCTCAGGTTCAGCTTCCTCCTCCAACTCACATCATTATTGTTTCTGAGCCTGTTCCCTCCCAGATACTCAAACACACCCTCAGATATTAAAACAAGTCCTTTGTATGGGGAAAAAAATTCAGTTAGGTAGATAAAACAAAACAGACCTCTTTATTGACCTGAAAGGGTCTTTGTGATAAGCAGACAGATGATAACAGAGTTTGAGTAAACAGCAGCCACTATTTTAGGAATGGATTATCCCTCCACAGCAGCTTGAAGGATTTTTAAAAAATGTTTTGCTGTTTGAATCTCTGATTATTGGCTGATTTTTGATACACTGATATTTTCCGTTCTCATTGCAACTGTTTTCTGTTAAGATTCAATTTACAGGCAGATAGACTTTTCTATAGAAAACATTCTGCAAATATGTTTATCATTATATATTTAGAGATTACAATAAATATCTGCCAATCTACATTTTTAAAATCATATTTATTTATAAAGATGCTTTGATCCTGTAAAAAAGAAAAAAAAATGCTTGATTTCTATTATCATCATCTTTTAATGTTTCTTGCTCCTTAAATCAAAATATTGTACTGTATTGTTGCTTGATGGGTCATCCGCTCTTGTTAATTTTAAATGTGCTTAAAGGTCTCCTACATTTATTTAGGAAGACATTGCGGTTCAAAAGTCCAAAAACATGCAAATAAGGTGGTTCTAAATTTCACATAGCTATGAATGTGTTTGTATATGGTTTTCTATCATTGTTTGGACAGTGAAAAGGTACTAATTATTTTTTAAGGTGAACAAAACAAACTGGACACTCAAGTCTCTATAAATAACCACTCTTAACTGCAGTTTCCATGTAATATAAGATAATTGCTTTTGGGTCAGTTTTGTGCAAAAATATATAAAAAAACCTAATGATTTCAAAGACTGTAAGATAAAAGGATATTTTAATCCTTCCCTTCCTATCAAGTCAGTGCTGCATTTGTTCATTCTAACTCAGTATTGGATGGATTTGTGATGAAGACTTTTCATGCAAATAGCATCAGCATGCTGTTGGAATAACTCTGGACTCCACAACAAACAAATGAATTTACATTTTGAACAATGCAATAAAATTTAATCTGTGCAAAATATTAAATCTGCATTAAATAATCTAACTTTCAGAAGCTTTATTTTGTGTTGTTTCATAAATGTGTACTGTTACTATGGGTACTCAAACTTGTGTTTAGACACTATATGAATAATATAATGGAATCCTTCACACAGATTTGTAAAAATTAAACTTTAAAGCTATTTGAAAAATTAGGTTTGCACATTGTGTTTAATCTAACTTCCCAACGCTCCTGCACTCCCAAGATAAATGTTGGTCTTCATCCAGCCATGTTGACCACAGTCTCAGTTATTTTAAGACATTTAACATAAATTCCATATGACTGCGTATAATCAGGTTATTCAATTATTTTAGCAGTTTATTACTTTGTTAAGATCAGTATCTGCTTTACTTTATTGGTATGTTCTTTTTGTTTTTTTAGTTTGTTTTCATATGCCCCAGTTGAGATGTTAGGACGACAAGATAAGATAGATAGATAGATAGATAGATAGATAGATAGATAGATAGATAGATAGATAGATAGATAGATAGATAGATAGATAGATAGATAGATAGATAGATAGATAGATAGATAGATAGATAGATAGATAGATAGATAGATTTGGAGGAAGGTAAACAATGCTTCACCTCTTTTACTCCAGAAACATTTCAGTATATGTGTAAGATATTTCTCTTTGAGCTCACTTTGCAATTGGGGATATTTTATGTTTATATACAGTAGTGATTGTTTTGGGGCAATTTGTCTGTATGAGCTGTGTAGGCTTTTACAGGGTCTTACTTAAAAAAATTGCCAACAACAAACAGAAAAAAAGAAAACTTTAACGTATAATGCTGGGATAAAGTGGTGCTAAAAATATGAAAATCATGGCCCCTGAGGAAGAGCTCTAAAGATGTGTGAGTGAACTTAATGTTGACCTTGTTTAGTTTTGATGCTTATATATATATATATATATATATATATATATATATATATATATATATATATATATAAGTAGTGTGTTCTCTCAATGCTGGTGTTAAAGGAGAATTCCGGTTTTTTACACTTTTAGCCCATTTTCTGTAGTGTCCAGGATGAAATCGAATGATCGACACCAAAATTTTGACAATTGGTCCTGTCTCTGCTTTTTGGCTCATGCAGAATCCCCCCCTGGCTGCTTCAGAATGTTCTGGGATTTACAAAATGCTAAATAAAACAAGACAGGAACGGTTTTTCTTCACGAAACTTTTTTTGGAACGTCATTGAACAGCGCTGACGACCCGGTGAGTAGCATATTTTAAAAAAAGAACGTTTAAGGTTGTTTTAAGGACATTATCGGACATGCTCTATGGAAGCCATTCTGAAGCAGCCAGGGGTGGATTCTAAATGAGCCAAAAAGCAGAGACAGGACCAATTGTCAAAATTTTGGTGTCGATCATTCGATTTCATCCTGGACACTACAGAAAATGGGCTAAAAGTGTTAAAAACCGGAATTCTCCTTTAAGGAGTTTTCTTAAACTTGGCAAAATATGTGACCTCCCTGATCAAGAGTTAATTCATTAGCATTAACATCCAGTTTGTTAACTTATTTCAGCAGAATGCTGCAATGTCTCCTTTAGATACATACCTCTACAGTTTTCTCAAAGTCACCAGAGCCACATTATGCACTGCAGTAGAGGCTGCTCTGCAGCTTTGGTTTATAGGGAGCACGGCGCGTGCGTGGAGGATGGTGACGATGACGCCACGAGCAGGAGCAGATCAGAGGAGCAGCAGACAGCAGCAGCAGCAGCAGCAGCGCCATCACAGGGAGCTCCGTGCAGGTTGAAGGCCGACTCTCCGCTCCTCTGCTCTCCTCTCCAGGCTCCCCTCAGATGCTCCGGCTCGCTGACAGCATGTCCGGCTTCTTCCCCGCCCTGCTCTCGGTTCTTCTCACCGGGCTCGCGGCCGCTGCGTCTTCTGATCTGTTTGACAATCAGCTGGGTGACATCAATTATTGCAAAAAGCAATGCCAGCTCACCATCAAAAACAAAAGCCCCGCTAAAGTAAGTTATTCCTGTGTGTTCGGCTGACTCTGCAGGGAAAATCACAGCACTTGTTATTGTGACCTATATTTCAACAGCGACAGAACCACTTTTTATAATGACCTATATATCTTAGTGTAACATGCATGTCTTATTTGGAATTGAGGAAGATAAAAAAAATTCTTCGCGTATGTAGATCCAGGCTTGGCTTATTTCTTTGCATCTTCTTGGATGCTTTGTAAGGCGCGCATATAGGCCGAAAAGATGCAGCCTGTCTGCTCCCAAAGGCATGTCCAAGACGTGGACTGCATTCAGGCTCATCGAGTGATTTAACCTCCTCAGCACTGCACCACTGACCGACTGGGATCAGGTGTCACACCATTAAGTCATCTCAGGGTAGATCTGAGCTCCACAGAAGGAACCAACCCCGAGCAGACTTTTAGATGAAGGTGTACATTGGTGAGTTAATGCGGTTATGCAGCATCGGATGCTTTCATCCCCTCTCTCCTCCCTCTGCTCATCAGCTGCCTTCAGGTGTTCAGACATCCTGCAAGGCTGCAAGGAGCACACCTGCAAAACACATTTAGTGCAACGCCACAGAGCTGTGAGTGTACATGACTAAATTGGATTAATGCAAATTGATTTCATTCATCCTGTGGTGGGAAAAAAGCATTAGAACAAAAGGTAACATGTGCATGTTAAAAAACCAACATAGTTCGTATCTTATCTAATAATAATAATAATAATGATAATAATAATAATAATAATAATATAATAATACTTTGGACTTGTAGTGCACTTTGTATTTAAACAAATCCCAAATTGCTACATAGTAAAACAGGTAAAACAGATATATATATATATATATAGCCTATATATATATATATATATATATATATATAAATGTAGAGCATGAGAAATAAAAAATAAAGACAATATAAAAAAGGGGGAAGAGTTCAATTTAAAGCTCTCCTAAAAGGAGAGCTAAAAAAAAAACATCCAGAAAACATCCAGAAAAGAAACCCTGAGTAAACACGCTGAGAGGGGAAAAAAACTGCAGCAAAGGTCTGTCTCTCCTGTGCTGACACTGGACACTAGAGGATGCTGTTTCTCCCTTTAGCAGAGAACATCTACAGAACATCACATTAAACTCTTCACAAGTGTAAAACTGCTTGCTCATTACCACTGGTTTTCCCTGACAGAGTCAGGAAGTCTGTCATAAACTGCAGAGGACAGGCCATAATACGACAGCCGCACTGTGTCATTAGCAGATGCCGTGGTCCATCCGTGTCACATCGCCAAACAAACTTTCTCCCACACTACCAGGGGATGTTTCTAATTTTGCATCCGTCTCTGTCTCTCTGGTAGGACTCCATAATGAACGCCTGTCACCGCGGCTGCCGCCTCTACTCCATCTGCCAGTTCGTCAATGGGGACGCCGGGTTTAATACCAGCAAGGAGGAGTGTCAGGGAGGTGAGTCAGTGTGGCGCTCTGTGCCAAGGAATATTTGTGCTTTTGAGTTTGGCTTTTACAAGCATAATTTCTTGCAGAATTTGCATAAAGAATGCAGACTGATATCTATGTAACTGGTTCAGTAGATGTATTGATATTATCTTGCAGCTTGTCCAAAACCCATAGCTGTTTATCTCTATGCTTTTCTTCACTGATTCTTTGTTCTTTCCCCTTTTTTTATTTTTTGCTTTATCCTGCCAATAGTCAAAAGTGTCCTGTTTTTCATGCAGCTTGCCAGGAGGCATACATCAAGCTGCTGGAGCAAGAGGCCTGCAGCACCGGCTGTGCCAGCCAACCCTCTGAACCTGAGATCATGAGGAGGAAGGTGAGAAAAGCTGCTCTGCACCCAATACATTTACACTCCTATACCTATGTGCACCTCATGCTGCTTTCAAAGTCAGTATGAGTCTTTTGGCATGTCTGAGAATCACCATCGCATGCACAGAAAAACAGCGGAGGTCAGCCAGTCTGTTTGACCTGTTCTTGCTTCATTTGCAGTTG